TCACCTGGCAGAAAAGTCCCATGGAATTTGCCCTTTGGCTTTTCTATAAGCAAAAGTATAGGAGGACCCTCACCTCAATAGATATCCGTTTGCTCTAAATCTAAAGATTTGGAGAGCTTGCCAAGGCCAGGTGCCTCCTGATAGTTACAACATGGTGAAGCTAGTTGACAATGCAGGTGGTGTGCTTGACTCAGTATTATTTGCTAAGAAATGCAGCCCAGATTTTGAAAGCGGGATTCCTTAGAAAGGCATGGGTGTATTGGCACTGAGGGCCAAAACTGTAGCCCTAATTGCTCTCCTGCCCTTGTTAAGAAATGGAAGATGTGTGTTGACAGTAAGAAGAAATCTAAATGATGGCGTTGGGTGATTGCCTTGGAGCACTCAGCCAGTGGGAGGGTCACCAATGGGAGACATAGTGTTCCCTGTGGATAGCACAGATGAAGAAAGCTGCCCTTAGAGTGCCAGGGTAAGGTTCTTGATTTCCTGGCAGTGAGGAGAAGGGGCTTTTGTGCAAGTAGAAACAGCCTGCCAGTCAACGATATTTATGGAGCACCTGCTGTGCAGAATTTGAAAAGGAGGAGACAGGCCTTGTCCTCAAGAAGCTTGTGATCAAAGAGAGAAGAGAAGTCCCCATGTACTGTAAACCTTTTACCATTCACAGCCACATTTGAAATGAGAGTGGATTTGGTGATATTTAGGGCATAGTCTGAGACTTCTTACTCAAAGTGTGGGTCATGGATGGGCAGCATCAACCTCACCTGGGAGCCTGTTAGAAATGCAGACTCTTGAACCCTGCCACAGACTCCCGGAGCCAGAATCTGCCCTTGACCGAATCCCTAGGTGATTCAAATGCACACAGCAGTTTCTGGAAGCACTAGAGGGGCTGTGGAGGTGGTGGGTCTCGAATATTTTGAGAGAGAAAAGCAACCCGGTTCTAAATTGATAGAAAGGGCAGTTCATTTACCTGTGAGCCTCTTAGACACGGGTGTCTCATCCTAGCTACTTTCATGAACCCCCGTTCTTGTTAAATTCATAAGGGAAGCTCAATGAATTCTGGTTGCATGGGTGCTTCCTCTGACAGTCCCTGTTCAGTGGGGTACTGCAGAAATTGTAGTGAAGGAATTATTATTATAGAGGCAGCTAATGAATTTGGGGAACATACAGATGATTTTTAGAGACTTGGGCAAAGCTGGGCATGACAGAACCTGTAGGAGTTAGAATAAGAGAGATGCAGGAATCGTTCCGTTAGGGCAAAAGGGATACCTTGGGGCCCTCAAACTTCCCTGCAATGGTTCATTTTCAGTCTATGTCGTGTGCTGCTTGGCCTTCACCACTCGTGGTTCCCCATCTCTCCAGGTTTAGGACAGCTGGAATTCTTTGTTTCAAATGTCTTGAAAACTATTGAGAATCCATCTTCTTATCCTTTCTCTCCCACCAGGAGTTATTGATTGATTCGCCAATTTACCAACATTGTACAAACTGTGTAATGCACGTAAATTTCATCAAAATCAATTATTATTGCCATTTTAAGGTAGGAGAATGAGGGGCCTACCTCCTCTGTTCAGTTCCCAGTTGCTTCCTCAGCCTGTACCCCAATTCCAAACATGTTCTAACATGATGCAGCCCACAGCCCTAGAAATAAGGCAAAGCCGAAGTGGGTGGCACGTGTGGAAAGAACGTGAGTGTCGTTCTCACAGGCATGTCAGGGTAAAATTATGGTAACAATAATGATAAGCGTGGAAAGAGAGATAAAGCATGTACAGAGTTTAACATGTTTCCTGCCCCTGCCGGAACTCATTCATTCCTGCCAACAGCCCTTGAGATAGTTTTTGCTGTTATTTCCATTGCATAGATGAGGAGATTGAGGTAACTTCCAGTCCTACAGATAGGGCAACATCCATACGAGGCTACGTGGCCACGACAGTAAGACCAAACAATTCAGTGGTAAAAAATGCAGTAATATCTCCGAAAAGTCGAAGAGCCCACTTCTGCCTCCATGCCTGTAAACAGCTGAGAAGGAAGTGCAGCCCAGGTTCTGAGTCAAGTAGACCTGGGCCAGAGCCTCGCTTTACCCTTCAGAAGCTGTGGGACTTCACAGGGCCTCAATTCCCATCTGCAAAATGGGGATAATTATAGTACTGACTTCACAGAGTTGTAAGGATTGTAAGAATTACTATATATTAGGTCCTGCATGCAGCGGGTGCCAATAAGTAGTTGTTTTTTATTTATTCCTTCACTGGCTGTAAAGTAATGGGGTTTCTATGATTTTAAGAAGGAAAAGTTCTGGTTCTGACTGCTTTTCCTATTTCCACTTCGTGCAACCATCTTTAAGAAGTACCAGCATTAATACCCTATAAAATTTCTGTAGTTCTGACTATCTGATACAGCTGGCTGTTAACGACTGATATTCTGTGGATTTTTTGGAAGTTAAGCTAAGCCCCTTAAATTCTCATTTTAGTTTGATTTTGGGGCTATTACACAGACCACTGGGGCTACAGACACAATGGAAATGGAGAATTCACATTCAGGACACATTTAGAGTTTCAGCATCCAAGATGATTCTCTTTTATTTATTTGATTAGTATTCACCCTTGGCCTTACTTCCCAAGCAGAATTTTAAACAACCATGGCTTCCCTTACAAAACAGGGCTTTGTTTACATAGATGCTGAGAAGGCACCAATTTGATCGTTCATACACAATCACCAAAGAAGCCTTTCTCAATTCTTTTTTATCAATTCACTATGCATTTAATGTGCTTTCAGCAATAAGATGAGGTGCCAGGGAGATAGGAAAGGAATGAAAGATCCTTGTCCTTGTTTAGTTGGGAGGGAAAAGAAACATAAATATACCGAGACAACTGGAAAATAATTAGTGAAGAAAGAGGGTATTATCACGTGGTCCAGAATGCCAAGAGAATAAGGAAGGGGAACAGAATGCAATAATTAGCTCTGAGAGTTTTCAAAGAAATGTCAAAAAGACAGGCCAAGATTGCCAAAGGATAATAATGGGAACAGTTATTGCTGTACACTATAGAGTTCTATCTACATGCGTTTTACATGGGATTAAGGGGTCATTTATCTTATTATTCTTATTTCACAGATGAGGATACACAGACTGATAGAGATTAAGGAATTACCGCAGATTACACATCTAATAAAGTGTAGAGCCGGGATTCGAACCTAGGTCTATCTGACACAATCACATGTAGAGAAAAAACAAAGTGTCTATTGGGGAGAAGATCATCACTCTTCTCAGTGGCAGAACGGTCAGAAGGTGAAAAGATAAACTACCTCTAGAACAGAGGGGCCACTGAGATGCAATAGGAGAAGGCAACTGAGGCAGTAAGAGGAAGGAGAGGGAGGAAGTGTCTGCTGACAAGGGCTTTGAATGCTACCCTGAAGAGTACAGACCTAACCAAATAGGTAACAGGGACCCTCTCGTGTAGAATAACAGGATGAATACAGTTGTGGCATAAGTAATCCCTGTAGCTGTGGGAAAAGACTGGAGGACAGAGAAACTTGTCTGGAGAGAAAGCCAGGAAGAGGTCGTTGGGCATTGGGTGACAATGGCACAGTCCAAAAGATAGTGTGTCTGAGAAATTGGCTTCTCGCTCTCAGTATTCCGACACCCGGGTGCTGCAATAACTCACCCAAAGACTAGAGGTCAATATTAGATTTCCATTTCAGCACTCAGATCTCTGAAAATAAAATGCTTTGAGCAAGGGTTTCGTCTTCTGCTTAACACTGGCACTAATGATCCTTTCCGTGATGTGGCAAAGAAACGAAAGCATTTTGTTGATGCCATCTACGGGACGCTTGTGCTTTCACTGTATCTTCCAACCACATCACATCTTCTGCCAGTCTTTAAGGTTATAGGTTTTTTCTCCTTTGGTTATATTTTTTTCTCCCTCACTAGTAAATAGTGATATACTTATTTACATCATCTGAATGAAAATAGTCGTTTCTTTATAAACAATAAATTGGAGTTTATACCCAGCACAAAAAATTAGTGATGGAAGAAGACGTTGCAGCATTCTGGCAGTCCTGCAGAGCTCCTTTCTTGATTTCTGCTATGGCGCAGTCCAATCCTTCTATGCTCATTCTACCTGCTTAGATCAAAGAGGGCACTTGACCTGCACATAACGATGACCATTGGGCCAAACTTCTTGTTGTGAGATATTGTCCTCTTGCTTAGAAAGAGCCATTTGTGGGAAACCTAGATACTGACAAAAAGAAGGGTCTTGGGATCCCACAATGTGCCTTTAATACAAAAATTTTCTTTGATATTTAATCATCAAGCAGAAAATAGTTTTCAAAGAGATCACCTCTATTAACTGCCTCTTTCGGCCCTGGAGTAGGGGCAGCTGGTTCACACAGGTCATGAATTCCCAGTTCTGGGCATCCATAGGGATTCAGCAGGTAAAATTTTATGCCTTTTGGTGATGGGGTATGCCTTTAGCTACGTGGGACATAGTATATTCTTTAACAGGCTTCACCGCCAGACTGCTCTATAATTCTGAATATCCAAACCCAATATAAAACCTCAAACCACAGCTTTGAAAATTTTGGATAAGTGTAGGTGGTATTCTACTCCAGGTGTATGTCTCATTTCGTCTTTCCAGCAGCTCTACTCATGTAAGATAAATGTCATTGTGTCCATTTTTCCAGATAAAGGAAACAGACTCAGCACCATTCAATGCCCTGCCTGCTGCCTGAGGTGATAACTAAGTGACAAGGACACATTTTACCTGTCCTCTGTCCATCACTACACTATGCCACCTTCTGGAAATCTATATAATACCATTTCGATCCTCACCTCACACCATACATTAAAAGGCAGCATGTCTTGGGCTTCTTGATGCCACAGGTTGATGCTTTTAATGCTCCATCCCTCTTGTGTGTATAGGCAAGATGGCTCATGGATTTGAGCGCAGCCTGGTGCTGTGGAAAGTAGTAGTCATAAGTGAGCCTAACACTTCTGTTACTTTTTTCATTTCTAGAAAATGAAGCCCCAGCGCCAGCGCCAGCACCAGCATCAGCCCCAGCCCCAGCGCCAGCCCCACCCTCAGGAGGTGAGTAAAAACATTGCCTCACATGTTTGGGCTGCAAATCTAGAATGTCCATCTCAGCATGATTTGGCCTCCATTGAAGCTGTGAGCTTTAACTTAACTCCCATGGAGAAGTTGGATGACTACAGTTATGATGGGTTTATAATAACAGTAATATATTTTGTTTAATAACCTTCTCACATTAACTGATTTGGATGGCATGTCATATTATAAAATTCTTCAAGTTATGCCAAAGTTGCTGTTACACCCATGTTTTGGCATTGTGGAGGCTGAGCCTCCAGGGAACTGACGGATTTGCAGGGTTTTTTCACACAGAGGGGAGGGCCAACAAAGCCCACACCTTTCTCGTGAGAGTGGGGAGCAGATCCCACCTCAAGATCAGCAGCCGCTTCCGGACGTGAACTATGTCATCATCAAGCACCTCCAGAAACTCCTTGGGGAGTTTCCAGGAAGGTTTGGTGGCATCTGAGGCTTAACATCAGGAACAGCTTCTCCAGTTCTTAGTACCCTGCTGTCGACCAGGTGGAAAAAAAAAAAAAAAAAAAAGACAAGGAGTGGAGAGTTCCAGTGAACTCCTTGGCAGGTAGAGGCAGTCCCCACCAACGCACCATAGGTAAAGCCTGCTTTCACATCCATGTAGACCTAAGGAAGAGAACAGGATTGGAAGAATGACAAGTCCAAATGGAACGTTAAACTCCCAACATGGAGCTCCAGAATCATTTGTCTGCCTGGGCAAATGACTCCCAAGATGGAGACAACCAAAATTATGTGCATTTTCCCATGAAGACACCAAAGTGCCCTCTCTCATCGCTCCTTCTCCTGAATAGGATGAGATACTGGCATCCATTTAAGAATTATTCACAGGGTATTTACCATGTGCACAACTCTGCCCTAACCCTTCAGAAAGATACAGAGCTATCTACCAAATACTCATGAATAACTAGGTGCAAACATGCTGTAACAGAGCCAGTGGGGAACTCTAAATAGAACGTTTCCCTAGATTTGGTTTGCCTACAGCCAAGTAGGAAATAAAATACAGCCTAGAGAATAATTAAATAAATTAAATTAAATGTAACCACTACATTGAAACGCCAGGCAGTACTATAAGAATCTCACAAGGCAGTATGTGATTTAATGCAGGTTGCTTGAATTGACAATATAGCATGAAGCCAGGTGGTGGGAGGTCACTGTAGACCAGTCCAGCCTAGATGAAAGCAGGAACTGGATAAGGCCTCAGTTTCTGGTGACCTTTACATGGAAGTTTATAAAGGAATTTTGAAGGTTTTCCACCCTGGACATCATTTTTCAGTGGGGCAGTTTGAGAAATCTAACTATTCACAGGAACCCCTTTGTCCAGCTAAGAATATTAGGCTCACACACTCAAAACCCTTAAATAATATAGAAGAGTATTGCTGTGAGCTAAAATTAATGAAACAGGCTCAGTGCCATATGAGTTCAAACAGGGGCAAGCTCAAGTTTAGTTTTCTTTGAACCAGAGTAGATGTGTGACATTCTTCTTAGGATCTTCTTCCTTGGTATATTTTCTCCTTGCACATACAGATTTATTTTTGCCAACATTGAGTACACTGAGAACCTACAGGTCATTACAGACATAACCTTTCCCTTCAGTTCTTCAGATCAGTTGCTGTCACTGGGCCACTACAGAGTCTCTCTCATTATGCCATGTTGCATATTCATTGTGCAATAATAACCTCCCTTTGCTAAAACAAGTCCCCTCCCAAACTTTGCTAAAATTGTCTTTATTAGTTAACTAAGATTCAGATCTCTAATCATCAGTCAAAAAAAAAAAAGAGAGAGAATTCACACTCGAAACAGTTCTTTTCTTACAAGTCAGACACTATTTGTACCTAAAGTAATGATTCTCAACAGCAAGAAGTGCAAACCAGACAGTATCAACTGATAAAATCTGACGTCCGTGCTCTTGTAATGCATTTATTGCCACTCAATTCAAACGAGAAGGTTAATATGTGTGCCAAAATATTTCCTTTGAAACTAGTGTACAATTATAGATTTTATACCCTGGCTCCTTACTATGATATTATCTAGAAGTCCAAACTATTGGAACCATTACATGGGTCAAACTTCCTAAAAAGTCAGTCCCTTGTTGGGGTCTAAAATGAAATGACCTACATTTTATACTTGCTTCCACACCAGCATACTATAACATGGCCCCAACATAGTTAAGGGTATTCTAACAAAATCTGTATTGCATGTTTCTGTGTATACTTTTTTCAAAAGTGATCATATTTACTAATTGCTTTTATTAAAAGTTTAATTTGACTCTATGTTATAATTCCCAAATTCATAATTCATGTAGTATAGCATACTAGATGGGTATGTAGCATTTTTTATGATCTGTTCTATTGTCATTAATTTCTTCTCTCCCCTCCTCCCCACCTTGCTCATCACACAATAAAATGCTTTCTTGTTTTTATTACTGTTTTTTTAAATTTTTTTATTGCAGTAACATTGCATTATAACATTATATAGCTTTCAGATATACCGTGTAACATATTTTGAATTCTGTGTAGATTACATCATATTCACTATCCAATAAAATGCTTTCTTTAAGATACTTCTAAAAATGTGCTTGTTCTTTCCACACAGAACCAAATAAAGAGAAGGAGGCCGGAACTGCACCAGCAAAAGGTGAGTTGGAGGAAGGGAGAGTGAGGCTGAATTCACAAAATTAGAAGCAGAAAGAGGTCAGTAGTGATTGCCGTGGTGGCCCCATAGATGTCCCCTGCATTACCTTTCATCAGTGTGGTTTAGAGTTCTTTGTTTGCATCCTATCTGCACAACCCAAGCAGCATAATGGTGAATGGTGTTCAGTTTTCACTATAGACATTTCTAAAAGAAAAACAACAATGATAAAAATATCACAAGCACTTTTTGAGATGCCAGCAAATTAATTGGTCGTTTGCAAGTTCCAATGTGCATGTGAAGGAAAAGAAGTGTCTGGTCTCTTTGGGATTATGCAAATTTGGCAAATTATCTGGATTACCTAGATTTTTTGAATGGACATTTTCATGTTACTGTGTGAAATATTCCAGGTTTCACTAGTAATTTTGAAGACCAGCATCTCATTTGTAACACTAAGTATTCATGTAGATTTATATAGTGATTTATACAGATGGACGATACAACCTTAAGCAAACATCATGTTGCTCCTTATTGAATTGGAAACTCATTAAGTCCTGTAATATTATTCTATTTTTACTTTATATGGAGATAGTCCAGCTTTAGAACGTGAGTAATCATTATCATGTCCTGCTGTGGATCCATGAAATACTAATTTCCTTGTCTCCTCATGGAGGAAGTTGCTGTCATTACTGACCACCTGCCTTAAGCCAAAGGGCCTTAGTTTTCTATAGAAGAAAGTTTTCACAGAGGTAGATTTAACAATTCTGCTTTATATGTTTGTATCATCATTTTTAAAAGTTCATCTTTTGTTCGTGTAATGAATAACATAGTCTAAATTTTGGAATAACCAATTATTTCCTGACTACAATAAGATCTTTGTCTTTTTCCTGGACACCACTGAAAAGCACGTCAAGTGTCTTTTTGTTCTTACTATGTCATATTTCATTACCTAATTCCAGTGACATTATTGTCTCCTATACATTAGTAAAATACTTTTTTTCTTTCTTTCAGTACATTGGACCACCTTTCTTCAGCTAACTTGAACTTACGCTCTCATAAATGAACACATAATGTTAATACACTTACTTTGTCCTTGACCTTCAGTGGCTCCCGTGGATAGCAACCTGAGTACCAGTCCTGGACACGTGGGCCACAGTCTGAAGGTTATTTGCTTATGGAATGCAGACAGTGCAAACTCTTAGAACTCCTTCCATGAGATGGGTTCAAGGATGTTGGGACATCCTGGCTGAAGTTATTGTAACATTATTCTCCACAACGCCGATGGCGTACGCATCTGTTTCCAAATTTGGAAAGGTGCTTGGACAAGGCTGTAAGGCTCAACCAACAGAGCAGATGATGTAATCCCAGAGGGCAAGCTGTCAAAGTTTAAACAAAGCTTGTGCCTGACCCTTAATCTGAAAAGTCATCAAATTATATTTGTATGCCTAAACGAGAAAATGCCTTTTTGTAAATTAAAATCAACCAACCAACCAACAAAATTCTTTTTCTTTATGCAGAACACAGTACAATGAAAGAGCAAGGCCAGATGACTAGGGCATCTGAAATTAGTTGCGTTTTCTTCTGACATTTGCAGAAGTTAAGCAAGGCCATGGCCCAGATACATAAACTGCCATTTATATATTTGCTCCACCTGGCTAGGAAGCAAATCAATTTAGGATAGAAATTGACATCCCTAAATAAAGAAGGTAAGTGGATGGAAGTTATTTCTAAATATACAGTCCTCTTCAACTATTACTCACTTTCGTCAAAGACAGAGAAATTTCAAAGAAATACTTGAGCCGCAAGTCGACACAATACTCATTGCTGTGCGTATCCTTGGTTGAGAAGAAGCTTTGCATGCGCATAAAGATTGACAGGTGCAGCAGACCTTTTCTCCAGCCTTGACTAGAATGTCCTTCCCTGACCTTCACGCTCCCCCTACCATCAGTGCCTCTAACTGTTTTTTAACCCTTCAACTCAGGTCTCACTCCTTTGTCAGCTTTCCCCTTGAGGATCCTAGCTCCCTCTAATCTCCACTTCCTCCTCCTGACTACTCTTGGACCTGTTGCTGCTGTCGTTAAATCACTCTTTCCTCCACTTAGTCACTTATTAACGGTTCCCTCCTTTTCCTAACAGGTTGTAAGCTTTTTGACAGTCAGGTACCATGTCTTAACTCTGCTCTGTGCCCTTCATCTCATTTCTTTCAGTGTCTGACAGAGAGCTGCATGCGGCAATCTCCTAATGAATGAACAATTGAATTTTTCACACTGGCTTAGCTGCAGATCATATAGATGACGGTAATCTGGATAGATTTTTCTTCCATTTAACATGTTTTCTGGGCAGGAGGATGAACATCCCATGCATACTCTTTGTCAGTGAGATCAGAATGAGGTACCAGAACCATGCATTATGAATGCTCACCCTCGGAAGAGATGGGTGATGTAAAACCAACTCGAAGCTATTGAAAATGGTCACAGCTGAATATTAGTACATTTTCAGCACTTAGTTAGGCCTCTATCTAGTTAGTTGAAGTAAATTCAATTAATAACTCCAAGACAGTCACTATTAAGAACATTATTCACAATAATGCAGCCTTAATATCTTTCCCTGATTGCCTGAAATGCAACAGCTTGGAAATGTCCTAAAAATTTTTTGGTAACCACAGAATGTTGTTTGGTTCTGATATAAGTCTTATAAGTAGTGTTTTTGGTTGGATTTGCCAACTTTTTCACATTTACTAAGACTCTCTGTTTGGGAAACAGCTGATTTCCCAGGAAGAGGTTTTAGTATTTGTTTGTTTGCTTCTGGACTTGTCCAACCCGTTATCCTGCTCCCTAACACTGCCCACTTTGTCCTGGAATTCAAACAATAGGGAGGAGAATAAAGAAACGTGTTTAATCAAACAGCAATACCAGAATTTAGATCTGCAAATCCCCTTCAGAGTGTTCATACTGGAAGGCAATGTCCTCATAAAAATAACGCTGCTGTGGCTTAGAATTCTTCCAGAAAAATGACAGGTGGAAAATCAATGGAATGCAAAGTATAGATTCTTTTCTATATCCTCAGTGGAGCCAAAGATCTGCCTTTGTTCTCACGTTCATGTATTCAGCAGGTATTTACTGACTGTTCACTATGTGCTAGGCGCGGGTGTGGGCACTGGGTCCTGCCCTCCAGAAGCCGACTTTAGGGAGCTTAGAGGGGAGAATGACCATCAGCAGAGGACAGTGGATTTCAGCTTTGAAAGCAGACAGTTGTCACAGAGAGCCATGTGTAGAGAATAATATGGGTGCTCAAATGGGATCATACTTTTTTTTTGATCAACCAACATTGCATGTGTGAACATAGGGTAATGAGACTGTCTCTTCTGTGCTTTAATTGGCCCTGTGGGAAGTTTCAAAACTGGTCCTGTAGGTGTTTCCAAACATGCCAGCAGCATAGAATCAGCGACCACTTTGAAGATCAGTACTCATTTCAATGCCTAAGTTCTGATATATTTTTTTAACTTTTATTTTTTCATCTTATTAGTTTATAGTCTGTATATTTTTAGGTAAACCCAATTAGAATAGTTACTGCCTCTTTTGTTTGTCTTCTAGAAAAATAACTGCTTTTGGTAATCACAGCAAAGGAAGTAAAAAGTTACTTTCTTTTTCTGGGCATTAACATTAACATTACCACATAAACTATCATAACTCAACCCTGTGAACCCTGTGCATATTAAGGATCTCACATAACTTGAGACAAGAGTCTTTCCTTTGGGGTAAATGTGATTGGCAGATCAGGAAGTAAATCAGCAGCAGTTCCAGTAAATTTCTCCTAAATTATAACTGTTTTTTTCCTGAGGAAGATTTGCTATGAGCTAACATCTGTTGCCAGTCTTCCTCTTTTTGCTTGTGGAAGATTCGCCCTGAGCTAGCATCCATGCCGATCTTCCTCTATTTTGTATGTGGGTTGCCACCACAGTTTGGCTGCCGATGAGTGGTGTAGGTCTGTGCCCAGGAACTGGACCCGGGCAACTGAAGCAGAGCGTGCAGAACTTAACCACTAGGCCATGGGGCTGGCCCCAAATTATAACTCTTTTTACTTAAAAGAATGATTATTATTATTTTTTTCATTTAGGTCCCTTTACATTTGCAATAACATTATCTTGGCGCTTCTCACTAGCATGCTAAAATATTTTTGTGCAATTTTTCCTTTAGGTATCAAAGCAATCAACCATCTACTAAAAAGCCTCTGTGCTTTACCCGTGTATTCTAATTACATTATTTCTTTGTAATGAACTTGGTTAAAAATTAATATCACCATACTTTTCAATTCTAAGATACAGCTGTTATAAAATGCAACATTGATTTAAAAGATTTGAGGGAGAAAAAAGTCATTAAGTAAATGTATTCATTGTAAGATGAATCCTGATTCAATAGCATCAAAGTGTGAAGGCATATATCTTCTCAATAAGAAAATAGGATAAATTAATCAAATGCCTCAAAACATGCTGAATTAATGTTACCTGTTATTGTCTCCCATCTGTGGTTGTTGTTGCTGCTGTTAATTTTGGTCGTGTACACCAATAGTTACTGCTTGAAGAATTCATAAATTTGTCTAAATCAAGCAAGGTATTTAACTGAGGCCTATTTACAGTCACTTCTATCTTAATTTTATATACTTTTTATTCTTTATTCTGAAATCTCAGCAATTGTCCCAAATTTGTTTTACTTAAAAAATTAATTTAAAAAGGCAATTGAAATCAAACATAGGTAGAAGTTATTTTATTCCCAAGAGAGTGTGGAGAATTTCAATAACGTACACATTCAACCATCGCCGGAGTTCCCTTCCTCGCATTCCAGATTTCACGTGTACCCCTGCCCCGCCCCCGCAAAATCCCAGGCTTGTAATATGAGACTTGAGTTCTTTCCTGACTTTCCAGGCGTTCTTCTCTGGGAACTTCAGTTGTTTAAAGAATCATTTTTACGGTTTTACAGATGCTATTTTCCCATGACTTAAAGACAAACAAAATTCTGCTTTGGTAAATCTCCCCTCTGTGTAGCTAGAGGAGACAGCTCTACTGCTCTGTGGTCTGTGGTCTTCCGGTACCCTGTATTCTAAAGAGCCAAAACCAGATGTGTACATTTTCATCGTCATTGTAGTCACTTCTAAATAGAAAAAAAGAAACTATGACTTACATATTGTATTTTGTTTGGTTTGGTTTGAAAATATTCTTTGTGTAATACCATGCCTTTCATATACGTGTTACTGAATTAGTCACAATGCAAAAGACTCAGATATTCAATTTCCCCTCTAGCAGGAAATCTGTTCTTGCATGGTAAATAAGAACAATTAAACCTTTCATTCTCATACAATTCAACCAAATTCAACCAGGCAACTTTTCAAGAATTTCAGGTCGGGATCCCAACATCTTAACTACATTTCCCAACCTTAAAGGGATGCCAGGACCAAAGCTACTTTTAAAAAAAGGAAAACGGTAAGCTTTCCCCCCTGTCAATTACATTTTCTGGCACTTCAGTAAATTTGAAGATTTATGTACAAAGAATCAAATATTGCCAGCTGAGAAGTAATTGCTGTTTGAAAGTAACCGTTGGATCTTCTCAAGTATCATTTCATGATACTTTGAACTACTGCTTTAATATGTGGTACCTTAAAAGTCTAAAGTAATTGTGCCTGACCCCCCAAATACTCTTAACATTTAGTCAACATTGAAACTACTCACCCATCAAATTTTTGCTTAAAAAATGGATTATCCTTTCATCTTAGTTTTACAAAAGGATGTGAATACTCTTTTTTCAATCATGTCACATTCTTAACAGTTGACTCAAGGATTCGTTATGCACTGTACACAAAGCAAACAAACAAAAAATCCCCACAAAACTTGTACAACTTGAAGTGTCCATTTGACTGCAAATGGTTCTAGTGTCTAGTTTGCATGTAATAAAGCAAGCTCCTTTCTAAGATTTGGTTGACTTTTAAAACTTCATTTTCAAGAATTTTTACAGGACTTTAAATCAAGATTCTTTACATATTTCAGTAAATAAAAGTCTTCAAATAGGTTGCAAGAATAAAATACTAACACTGAATTAAATTAATGGCAAATAATATGGAAAAGTTGCAAGGTATTTTATTTTTGGTTATGTGAAGTTTTAGCTATCTAACAGTCTTCTGAAATATAGAATTCCCTGACAGCTCAGGAATACGTACACTTCCTCAGATGCGTGATTTCATGGCGTGTGAATGGATATTCCCAGATAAAAGGATTCAAAAGTGAACTGTTTGATAGATGTTAACTGCTATATCATTTCTTGCCTCTACCCCCAGTGCCTACACATATTAACACAAAGCTGAAGGCTTTGAGCTATCCCTCAGTAAACGCACACACACAATACAATAAAATACAAGCATTTAACTTTATTTAGCCTAGCGTTTTCCAAGCTTCTTTGACCACAGAAAGTTTCCTCTGAAGAATTCCGAATCTCACACTATCCAGTGAATCACCTCTTGGGTTCTGAAGATTTAACATTAAGTTCTGTCTATATTACAGTAGTTATTTTGTTAAAAAGTAATAAAACATATCTCTGATTGACTTTTAGGAATGAAATTTCAGGCTGGTAAATAATATTTGTAGTAAATATTCTAATAGATTATCCAAAAACGGCTATTTTACCTCTTCTTTTCAGGAGTTATTTTTTTGCTTGAGGAAGATTCTCCCTGAGCTATCATCTGTGCCAATCTTCTTCTCTTTTGTATGTGGGCCACCACCACAGCATGGCTGATGAGTGGTGTAGGTCCATGCCCGGGAACCAAACCTGTGAATCCAGGCTGCTGAAGCGGAGTGCACCAAATTTAACCACTGGGCCACCAGAGCTGGCCCTCAGAAGTTTTTTAAAGCACTTTTTAATTTACAGTGCATGTTTTTTCTGTATTCTATTTTATGCAATCATATAAGTTTGCATTTTGAAATCCACAATTATTGCAGTATTTTAAGTACAAAGATTAATATCACCTACACTGACACTAGTCTTCATGCTTTGGGAGGGGAGGGGCAGAGGTTCAGATAACCTCAAATGCCTGTTTAAGCATCTAAAATGTAAAGACACTTTGAAATTCAGACATTTTAGAAAGGAGGAATATTCAGTGCCTCTGCACATAAACACTACAAGGCGTTTTTGAATTTCACAAATGTGCATGGGTAAATATTTAAAAAATTATACATTGACCAACACCAATATAATCTTGGGAAAATGCTTATAAAGTTCCTAAAATAATTATTGGTGAACTTTGTAAGTACTGCAAATTGATTTATATTAGTTAATGTTGATTTTTGTTTCCTAAATACAGAAGGGGAATTAATCACAAGGTTTTTGGAGTGGCGGGTAACGAGTTCTCAAACAGTACATATTTGCTTTTCTGTCTGTGTCCAAATGATCGTGGTATATGAATTATGTCTATGATTGACCTTAGTCACAAGACAAGAACTTGAAAAGTGACTCTGTTGTTGATTTCCTCAAGGTTAGAATTTCAGCATTAGTTTTTTTCTTAACCTACAATTACATAAAACACTTGCATAGAGTTCCATATTTGTCTACGCTTTCATTGGATTACTCTCCTCTCTCACCTTTTTTATTTATTTTTCTCTTTGGCCTGAAATACTCACATTTAATTTTTCAGGTACCAAGTCTTCTAAGGCTTACTCATCAGTTGAAAGTGTTTTGTTTAGTTTCTCCTCTTCTGTTTCAGATTTCTCTTTTCTCAGGATACTCAAGACGAAGTCCTTTTCTCCTTGACATTTTGTTCCTATTTCTTGTTTCAGATGAAGAGGAAACCTTCCCGCCTAGTGCCCTGCCTCCAGGTTAGGATAATTCCACCCCTTTTCCCCACTTTGTAATTTATTATTAATTGACAGTAAAAGAAAAGAAAAGGCAGAGCACCTTGGTGAGAAAATGTGCAGAGCAGGACCACCAGGTTTTGCCAGTACCACCACCAAGAGGGAAAACGGCTTTCATGGCAATTTTCGCTTTACATGAGAAAAGTTCTTAAAAGAGGCTTTCTTTGTAAAATAAATGACTAGTAAATCTTGGGTGTAAATTTTAGGGGCAAAAATGTTTATTTTCTATTTCCAGCTATATACTCCTTTTCTCTGTTCTTTAGCTATTAGGATTTTTAAATTTTATCAACATTTTTTTAAAGAAGACACATACTTTTTATAGATGCTTTCATAGTTGAAGCTCTACTGATTTTTTCATCCAAGCCAACTTCTAGCTTTTTCTCCCCATGATGAGAAGAGACAGGGTTCGGGGGAATCCAAGAAGGTTGAAGTCTACCCTCCATTTCCACCCCCTTCCCCTTGCATCACCCAAATCCCGCTTTCCTTTCAGGTTTGGGTAGTCGGGCCCTGGAAAGAAAAGATTCAGGTGAGCACACGCCTGGAGCCAAGTGTCCCGGCCCCATCCTAATATAATCACTACTGACCTCATTTCTTGAAGCTGTATTGACTCTAATCTCTGTTTTATTCAGTTTGTAGCTTTTAAAGCAATCTTTCCTTACATTTTCTCTTACAAAAAAACTAATGTATTGAGAAACAATTAATTTTGCATGATACACACACACATAAATTCAGGAATCTAGCCACATATACCACAGGTTTCTTGGTTTTATTATAACTACTTTTTAACATTTGCATTACACAGTGATTAAAAAACTTTTAAAATCTCCATCACTGAGATGTGCTGAATTAGATAATAATACACATTTTTATAGAACTTTACATAAAGTTGATAAAACTCCTACAAATGCATCCTGTTGCATTCTGTGAGGTCATTCATTCATTCAACAAGTTTTGTTGAGGGTCAACTGTGATCCTCCTCTGGGCCAGGCACTTTTGCAGGCACTTACAGGTATAGAAATGAACAAAACAATAACAATTCCCACCCTCATGTTGCAAATATGAATGACCGCCATACTCATTATTGCTATTAAGATCACAGACACTCACAACATAAAATTTTAACATCAACTTGGGTATTAAAAAAAATTGTGTAACCATGTGACTACATTACATAACTTCGTTGTGAAAGTGGTGGTCTCCTATAGATGCAAATACTAAGCATGATTGGTACATGAAACTAAAATAACTAAATATACACTTCCTTCTTTTCAAGAAACATTAACAGGTAGAGAGTTGGCAACCATACATTTTTTTTCCAGTTATTAAGTGGCGGAAACTGAACTTCTCTGCATTCAGCTCTCGGAGGCAGAGGGACTAGCTCCAGTTCTCTCTCCTGCCCTTCTCATTGGAGTTGACTGCTGATTAATACCAGATAAGCACCTGGAGTGCAAAATAGAAAATGCACAATAAACTTCACTTCCAGCTTGTCTCTCTTCATGGGAAAGCCTCAAAGAATATATTTCACTTTCTATTTTTTTTGGGTTTTTCCTTTTTTACAGGACGCTCCTTGTACTCCTGAAATATGTACCTGCAGGTCATGGTCTGTTACTTAATTGTCAAACTATGGCCACATCTATACAACCCTCATAGAATTGTCTAATCATACAACAGCAGGAATCTAAAAGTACCAGGCCAGGCTTGGCTGTCTGACGCTTCCCAGTTAACCTGCAAACTGACCCATCCAATTCTATTGTATAGATATGGGCTTATAGTCAGTCACCTGGAGAAGTACTAAGAGTACTGCTTTAACATACTTCCCACCGTTATTTATCTGTTAGACGACAGGCAGGTTGGGGAAACAAAGGAACCACGGCTGCCAACAAGGACAGAGCAACGACTTACCTGAAAAGTTTTACTATTCCTAAGAATTAGAAAATGTTCCTTTATCCCACCATGGAAGAGATATCTCTGTAAGAACGGGGATCTGTCACTCTCTACTGATAGCTGGGGGAGATAGGTGGAAAGAATGATGTTACATTTATCCAGGTTTATTAGACAAAGTAAAGCTTCCCATGGATGAGACCAACAAACCCAGGTAAGTCTGCCTAAGAAAGACCCGGCCCTGAAATAATCCTTTTCCTCCTTTCTGCTCATTAGAATGGTCTCTTGGTGACTCACCTGCTGGGGAAGATCAAGATAAACAGAATGCCAATTCTCAGCTGTCCACCCTGTTAGTGGAAAAGCCTCAGTCAGGAGCAGTGAAAGTTGGTGAGTATTAAATCCTGCATTTTTTTTTAAATGGAGGTGAAATTCACGTGAAATAAAATTAACCATTTTAAAGTGAACAATCAATGGCTAGTATTACACTCAGTGTTGTGCAACCACTGCCTATATCTAGTTCCAAAACTTTTTCGTGACCCAAACAGAAACTGTGTACTCCACTAAGCAGTTACTCCCCATTCTCACTCCTCCAAGCTCCTGGCAACCATGAATCTGCTTTGTCTCTATGGTTTCCCTTATTTTAGATATTTCATTTAAGTGAAATCACACAATATGTGACATTTTGTGTCTGGCTTCTTTCACTTAGCATGTTTTTGGGGTTCATCCAAGTTATAGCCTGAATCAGTACTTCCTTTCCTTTTTACGGCTGAATAATGCTCCATTGGACATATATACTAAATCCTGCTTTTTTATAACCTGAAAAGAAGAGTGGCGGCTATCATTGCGGTGACTTTTAGCTCCTAGTCGTTGAGTGCCTGAACCCCGCAGCCCGGTTGGGTTCAAATCAATTTCCTCGTCTGTAAAATGGGGGTAATACTACCTGTGAAGTACTTTGAACACTGTCTGGCATATCTTAAAGTTCTGAGCCAGTGTTTGCTGTCATTCTGGCATGCGCCTTTCTGCAAGATGATTACAAAAGCTATGATGATGCACACATGCTAGATCATAATGTGTAGTATCTCAGAGGAAGCTAGTTAGATAGATGGTTTGATTTTGGAGATATTTATTCAAAAAATATTGATCTCAGCTCTTCTTTTATGCACTATGCTGAACACTGAGCATAACATGTGAGTACTCAGAACTTACAGTCTTAATGGGAGGAGCAGACAACAAGAAATTAATCAAATAAACAGATAATCACAAAAGCCAAGTGCCATGAAGAAAATAAACAGGGTGGTGAGTTAGACAAGGACTTGGGGGACCAAGAATTTTAACTAAATAAATTTTTATAGGGAATATATTGTGATCATAATTACTCTTTGGCACTTACCAAATATTATGAAAATGAGCACGTAGCTGACTCTATTCTAAAATTGTTTCTTTTAGGTCTAGAATGTAGAAGCACACTGCACAGGAATGGAAGTTTGCTTCCCTCGTGTTTCTGGAAGACACAGAATGCTAGACAGGCCGCAGGTCTAGGGTTTTGATGTCCTTAGAGTCTAATCAGTTAATACAAACAGGCAGGTTTAATTCAAAAAGATCAGTTTCATTTAGTCACGTTCCTGTAATTCCAGACTTCCCATCATGTTGCCTAACAAAAAGGATGGAAAAAAGTCCATATATTTGTGGGGTTTTCCTCTCTGTTTTTTGCTGTAATAATTAATACATTGGAAAGTGCTCAGAAAACTACAAATGAGGTACCTTTTAAACATCACTACTTGTGAACACAGTAAATTTGTAAAGTGATTCCCTTTTAATTTTATTTATTTTTTATGAGGAAGGCAACTTCATTTTCTTTCTTCCTTTGATCCCCTTCATCTATTTCTCTCACCCTCCACCCCCTCCCTCTGGCAAACACCAATCTGTTCTCTGTATCTATGAGTTTGTTCTGTTTTTTTAGATTCCACATATAAGAGAGATCATACAGTATTTGTCTTTCTCTGTCTGACTTATTTCATTGAGCATAATGCCCTCGAGTTCCATCCGTGTTGTCACAAATGGCAAGATTTCTTTCTTGTTTTATGGCTGAGTAATATTCCATTGTGTGTATATAACACAATTTCTTTATTCATTCATCCATCAATGGATACTTAGCTTGTTTCCATACCTTGGCTATTGTAGATAATGCTGCAATGAACATGGGGATGCATTTATCTTTTCAAGTTAGTGTTTCCATTCTCTTCAGATAAATATCTAGATGTAGAATTTCTGGATCTTATTGTAGTTCTATTTTGAAGAACTTCCATACTGTTTTCCATAATGCCTGCACCAATTTACATTCCCACCAACAGTGCATAAATATTTCCTTATGTCTGCATCCTCACCAACACTTGTTATTTCTTGTCTTTTTGATAATAGCCATTCTAACAGGTGTGAAGTGATATCTCACTGTGGTTTTTGATTTGCATTTCCCTGATGATTAATGATGTTGAGCATCTTTTCATATACCTGTTGGCCTTCTGTATGTCTTCTTTGGAAAAATGTCTATTCAGATCTTCTGCCCATTTTTTGATGGGATTGTTTGCTTTTTTGCTATTGAGTTGTATGAGTTATTTATATATTTTGGATATTAGCCCCTTATCAGATGTATGATTTACAAATATTTTCTCCCACTCAGTAGGTTACCTTTTCCTTTTGTTGATGGTTTCCTTTGCTGTGCAGAAGCTTTTTAGTATGATGTAGTCCCACTTACTTATTTTTGCTTTTGTTGCTTTTGCATTTGGTGTCAGATTTAAAATCATTGCCAAGAGCTATGTCAAGGAGTACCAGCTATGCTTTACCCTAACAGTTTTATGGTTTCGGGTCTTATGTTCAATTTTTAATCCATTTTAATCTTTGTGTATGGTATAAGATAGTGGTCAAGTTTCATTCTTTTGCATGTGGCTGTCGGTTTTCCTAATACCATTCGTTGACAAGACTGTCCTTTCCCTATTGTATATTCTTGGCTCCTTTTTCGTAAATTAATTGACCATTTATGCATGGGCTTATTTCTGGGTTCTCTATTCTGTTCCATTGATCTATGTGTCTGTTTTTATGCCAACACCTTACTATTTGACTTACTACAGCTTTGTAATATACAGCATTCCCCCCTTATCCATGGGAGATACGTTCCAAGACCCCCCAGTGGATGCCTGAAATCACAGATAGTACCAAACCCTATATATACTGTTTTTTCATATACATACACTCCTACAATAAAGTTTAATTTATAAATTAGGTACAGTAAGAGATTAATAACAATCACTAACAATAAAGTTGGCTTTGGAGCCATTATTAAGTAAAATAAGAGGTTCTTGAACACAAGCGCTGTGACAACACAACAGTTGATCTGATAAGCAAGATGGCTAGTAAGTGTTTAAAGAGTGGGTAGCATACACAGTGTGGATACACTGAACAAAGGGATGATTCATGTCCTGGGCAGGACTGAGCAGGACAGTGAGAGATTTCATCACACTACTCAGAACAGTGCGCAATTTAAAACTTACTGTTTATTCCTGGAATTTTCCATTTAATATTTTCAGACCACAGTTGGCCACAGATAACTCAAACAGTCATTAAAGGGAGACTACTGTAGCTTGAAATCAGGGAGTGTGAAGCCACCAATTTTGCTTTTCTTTCTCAAGATTGCTTTGGCTATTTGCAGTTTTTTTGTGGTTCCATAAAAATTTTAGGATTATTTGTTCTATTTCTTTGAAGAATGCCATTGGAATTTTGATAGTGATTGCACTGAATTTATAGATTGCTTTGGGTAGTATAGACATTTTAACAATATTGATTCTTCCAACCCATGAACATGGAATATCTTTTCATTTATTTGTGTCCTCTTCAATTTCTTTCATTACTTGTAGTTCTTGTAGTTTTCAATATACAGGTCTTTCACCTTCTTGGTCAAATTTATCCCTAGGTATTTTATCCGTTTTGATACAATCGTAAATGGGATTGTTTTCTTTATTTCTCTTTCTGATAGCTTGTTACTAGTGTCAAGAAACACAACAAATTTTTGTGTATTGATTTTGTATCCTGCAACTTTACTGAATTCTTTTATTAGTTCTAACAGTTTTTTGATGGAGTGTTTAGGGTTTTATATATATAATATCATATCATCTGCAAAATAATGACAGTTTTACTTTTTCCTTTCCAATTTGGATGTCCTTTCTTTCTTTCTTTTCTTTCTTTTTTTTTCTTTTTTTTTTTTTTTGTCTAATTGTTCTTGCTAGAACTTACAATACAATGTTGAATAAAAGTGGTGGAAGCGGGCATCCTTGTCTTGTTCCTGATCTTAAAGGAAAGGCTTTCAGCTTTTCACTGTTGAGTATGATGTTAGCCATGGGTTTGTCATACATGGCCTTTTTTATGTTGAGGTATGTTCTTTCTATACCCACTTTGTTGAGAGTTTTTATCATAAGTGGATGTTGAATTTTGTCAAATTCTTTTTCTGCATCTGTTGAGATGATCATATGATTTTTATCCTTCATTTTGTTAATGTGGTGTATCACATTGACTGATTTGTGGATATTGAACCATCCTTGCATCCCTGGAATAAATCCCACTTGATCATGGTGTATGATCCTTTTGATATGTTATTGAATTTGGTTTGCTAATATTTTGTTGAGGATTTTTGCATCTATGTTTATAGGGATATTGGCTTGTAATTTTATTTTCTTGTGATGTCCTTGTTTGATTTTGGTATCAGGGTAATGCTGGCCTCATAAAATGAGTTTAAAAGAATTCCTTTCTCTTCTATTTTTTGGAAGAGTTTCAGAAGGATTGGTATTAATTCTTCTTTGAATATTTGATAGAATTCACCAGTGAAGCCATCTGGTCCTGGGTTTTTGTTTGTTGGGAGGTTTTTGATTACTGATTCAATCTCCTTACTAGTAATTTGTCTGTTCAGATTTTCTGTTTCATCATGATTCAGTCCTGGTAGGTTATATGTTTCTAGGAATTTATCCACTTCTTTGAGATTGTCCATTTTTCCATTTTTATTTTATATATATTATATAAAACTAAACAAAAATTATTTCCACTAATTAACCCATTGCTCCTTTTCTGCTCCATAAACCTCAAGAGCAGAATAAGATGGAGTATCCTAAGAACTTCTAGGGTACTCATAAAAATATCAGGGCCATTTCATTGCACAATTCCAGGGGCACCAGTCACATCAGAGTGTATGTAGTGCAGTTCTGTATAATTCCTTCCAGTTGAGAGCAAAACAAACGGCAATTTTTAAACCATAATCTGAATCACTTGTGCTTTTTCTAGGTGAAAATATCACCTTTATAGCCAAAGTCAAGGCTGAAGATCTTCTTAGAAAGCCCACTATCAAATGGTTCAAAGGGAAATGGATGGACCTGGCCAGCAAAGCTGGAAAGCACCTCCAGCTGAAGGAAACCTTTGAAAGGCATAGTCGGGTATGGCCCTGAACTCCTGGAACAGGCTAGCTCATTCCTTCTGTGTCCATAATAGGTCATTTTCAGTTTCAGCTTTGAGAGATTTCAGCCCCCAAAAATTCTCTGGAGTTACCATTCCCAGTGTCCATATTCTGGCATGGTTGCTATGATGTACCCAGGGGCTGAGGAGCACATTGATCTCTCCTATATTGAAAGCATTGTACTGGAATCCCCAGATACAGACACATCTTTAAACCTTTGCTGAGCAATTTGGAAAATAACTGAAATGTGATGGCCTTTTTCTGTTGGCAAGGTAGGGCTGAAATATGTCTTGATACATTTCATTACAGGTGTACACTTTTGAGATGCAGATCATCAAAGCCAAAGAAAACTTTGCAGGAAACTACAGATGTGAGGTCACCTATAAGGATAAGTTTGACAGCTGTTCATTTGATCTTGAAGTACATGGTAAGAGAGCTTTCTTGTCCAGGCAAATGTGATTTTTTTTTTTTCTTTATCGGGTATGTGGGGATAGAGCAGAAGAAGGTCATTTAATACTACGAGATTTTAAAAATAAAGTTTCCTTTAAAAATGTGTGTGTTTCTAATTGTGGTACTCTCAGCAAGCCTTCTGAATTAAATTATGAGACAATTTAAAAATAGAACTCGGGGGATTTTATTGCTAAGTATCACTTGTCCATGCTATCTATATTCCTTCAATCTCCCAGATAAGGGCTGATGCATGCCATTATTTTGCTGCTACTAAATTTACCTGTTTCATTGGGTCCACTATTTCCATTCAGGTTTGGAGATAAGTTAATATGGTATGAGGATTTCAGGATACCCAGGTGGAAGGGAGGATTTCTCTTATAAGGACTAATGTCAGATAGGGAAGTTCTCCATCCATATGTTCTGTGTACTGCCCAGAGTGAATTTAATAAGGATAAATGTAAAGGTGTACATATGGATTGGAAAAAATTTCACTTCTATAAGTATACAAAGGTAAAGTTGACGTGGCAGCAAAGATCATAAACTCAAGTTGAATCCAAAGTGAGATATAACTACAAAAGACAAAGCTGGTGTAATTTAAAACTGGGCCATTATAAGTGGTATGGGATCTAGGTTTAGGAAATAATACTCTTCTCTGCAACATGCTACTTGTTCCACATTTGGAATAATGTCTTTGGCCATGGGCACCATACCTCTACTGGGATCCCTTCTGGAATAGAGTAACTAGCAGGATGGAACCCAGATACCACGCTCTATTCAGTTTGAATGTGTGAGTGAAGGAAGTCAGACATATATAACTCGTAAATAAGGGAAGGGCTGCCACACAGAAGAAGGAAAAGGCCATTTTCCATGCACTCAAGCATTTAGGCAGATTAGAATCAAAAGGTGAAAACTGTGAGAAGGTGATCTTTGTCTTAACATTAGCATGACCTGTTTCACTAAAGTTATGTAGACACAACTGGAGGTTGTGAACGAGATTCCCATTCTGATAGATGTCAAGCAGAAGCTGGATGATCGTGTGTGGAGGCACCGTTGAGATTTCTGTATTAAGTAAGAATCTAGTTATTAGTAGTGCTTCTTCCATCTGGCCGGGCATGTCTGAGAATCACCTGAATGGCTTTTTAATATTATTGATTTCTGGGCGCCCATCCTTGATCCAGTGAATCAAAATCTCCAGCAGGGAGAACAAGAAGCTGATATTTTTTAAGTTCCTCACGTGATTCTAATGGGCAGGCAGGTGGAATGACAATTGGATAAGGGAACTCCTAAAGTCCTTTCATTGATTCTGTGTGAGGAGGATGAGGTATGATGTCTCATCAGCTCAGCCATCCAGGAGGAGAGCCATCCTCCCTTCACCTGGCATTCCTTCCATCTGAAGAATCTCCCCAGCCTGGAAAGAGACTGAACATAAAATTGCCTTCTTAATGGGTATTTATTTTATTGTTTTCTTTCCTTTCAAAGAATCTACCGGAACTACTCCAAACATTGACATCAGATCTGCTTTCAAGAGAAGGTAACTTCAAAAGGGGACTCTAGGTAGTTTTGTATAACATGAAAGTGGAGGATTTTCAAAACTCTTTTCCTCCACACTCTATATTACAAATGAGAACAATTGTTTTCACTGTAGTCAAACATGCCATATATTCAAAAATCAGTGCTCTGGAAAAGCCATGGATTTAAAGCCAAATCAAGTATATACTGATCATTTTTAAGAATATTCTTGTTATAGTGAAGCTCTCATTTTTAAAGGTTTCACAGTTGCCTTATAGAAACACACTTTCAACCTATTCATATGTGGCTTCTTCCTGGATTGCATAATAGCCCACCAAATGGCCAAAAAAGATAGATATATCAAGATACACATCTTACATGACATCAGTTAAGTAATGTCAGAAAACCTATAGTGCTTTTCATCTAGAAATCACTTATGGTACTCTTAAACCAGTGTCTGGAAAACCACAATTAAGTAGCTACCTATTAAAGTTAGCACTATTTAAATATTGGATTATCCTAAATGAAAGACTATTGAGTCTGCTGGAATAAAGAAGACTGTAGAAGGCAAAATGTGGACACCTGTTTGATTTATTTTGCTACTGCTGAGGCTGAAAAATCAGGGGGTCAAGGAAGAAAAATGAAAAAATTTTTCTAGTCTATGAGAAATGTACCTAGCCCCATACCACCATTATTTTACTCTCTGTGCTTAATTCTTCCATAATGTAAATTCGTTAATGAGAGCAAATACTTCATTCTTGCTGTGACTGAATCCACGTACAGTTTCGTTGAATAAGGAAAGTATCCCAAACTAGTATAAAGCAATGATTTAGTCTGCTAATAAAAGGCATATTTCCCTCCTAAATTATAAATAAAAATTTTAATTGCTTTTAAAAGATTTTTAATATTACCCGATGAGTCAATTGGTATTTTTGTAAAGCCACAACTTTTAAATCCTATTATTTTCCTTTCACCTTCTCTTCACCCCCGGTTCAGCAAATGCAGACATCTAAAACTATACTCATCCTGTGTACGAGGATATTTTAGGAGAGGGAGACGTAATCTACCAAATTTTGCACTTTAAAATAATAGAAATGTGTTTATCTTGAAAGGTCTTCTCCAAATACCTGCCATTAAAGAAATTTTGAAAACACATGATCCGAGTTCAGTTCTTATGACTCACATGTTATACACACTGTTTTTAAACCCACAGCCTCTTTTCTTAGAAACCATAACTAACATTTGTAAAGAGCAGGAAACAAAATCTTCATTAAAAAATTAAACGTGTAAGTAAATATGTAGTGCCGTTTAAATGTCAGCCCCATAGCTTCTATTTAGGGTTTCCATGAAATCACAAAGACGGCTGCATGCCTAATTTGAGATGCATTTCTCCAAAGGAAAGCACTTTAAAAAACTCCTAGTAAAAGGGTCATCAACAATTCAAAGACAAATTTTCAAAAAATGCATTTTAAAAGGTATAAATATTAACAAGAAAATGAAGAGGTTATAATTATTTCCCTTTAAAACAGAAAGGAATGCATCTTTCAGAAAGCTCTGCACCAGCTCCATTCTTATGTTATGTTGGTATCACATTATCTGATTCATCTATTGATGGACACAAAGAGGTTACCTTTGAATATAAGCTTCGTACTTATATGTTTGACATTGGTACACTTTGTCTTCCAAGCCAATCTCTGTCTTATGTGAACAACAGAGATCAGCAAAAGTCCTTTGCTTTTTACACAAGTATATTTCTAAAGCCCCCCAACTTGCAAAAACAAAGTACTTTGTGTTGCTTGGCTTAAGTGCATTTGTGTTACTCCGTTTTAACACAAATTCAAGCACTTTTATATATGCAATCTACAAAAATGTGCCTTCTGAAATCATAGAGTAACACAAGTTCTTCATGTCTACTTTTCCACAAGTACATCCTCCAAAAATGTAAAATGTCACTTGTGTGAAAAGAAATTGTTTGTGTTCATTTAGTCCCATAACTTGTGTGCCGGTGCAAAATTGCATATACGTCATATGTAGAGTGTTTGGGGGAAACTGTTGTGTATGTGTCTCAGCGCTAAACCCAGATTTGCTTTTCTTTTGTTAATGACAGTGGAGAAGGTCAAGAGGATGCAGGGGAGCTTGACTTTAGTGGTCTCCTGAAACGTAGGTGAGAACCAAGTGATGGAGTGAGGCGCTGTGGCCTGGAAGTCTTTTAGATACCCACTCAGAGAAGTCACCTTTAAACTGGATGCTTTTCAAAGAAGTTTTCATTTCTTAAAATGTGTTTTGCTTATAGAATATAACAGAGTTGACTAAGAAAGAGACAGAGAAACAACTGCATACTAATCTGATAAAGATTTTAGCTGATGCTTTTAAGCTTTCTTTTTAAATGTTTTATGAGTCTTTACGTATTTTCTTAGCTGGGGATGAGGAGATGTGAAACTGAGACGGAGGACTTAAATACCTAGAAACCTCTGATTTCTCCTATTTCAGTTCTGATTCCCTGTTATGATTGAATAACGAAAGCCTCCATTCTCCTGCCTTTGATATTTGACCAAAAAATCAATTTCGCCGTTTTTGTAGAAGTCTCTGCAAGTGTACATATATTTTAAAAGGCAGACCTACTTTAATATAATATTTATGATTTACTTTATTTCAGCAAATCTAAGACACCATTCGTCTTAAGATATACATGTATTTTACAAATCACTAAGCAATGAAAAAGTTGCTCTGAATAGTGTATTATGACACACTATTGACTATAAATACACCTTTATTTCAGAGATGTTTAAAATATCCAAAAAGGTGCATTTTAGGAGTGATAAATTATTATAGTAAAATGGAAATAAATGTTTAGTATTATCACTCACGCTCCCTTAATATGTTCTCTCACAATAAAATTTATAGAATTTCATTATAGATATTTAGTACATAACCATTTAATAGGATTTCTGTCCGTATATATGCATATATATAATCATATACTAAATTATATGTGTTTTACATAAAGTTATACATAGCTATTTACTATAGTGCAGAAGCATCAAAGAGAAATTAATTTTTTTCGGGGATTGTGTTTATCTAGCAAATTTGTGAAAAAACAGATAAAACTACAATTCTAAATTAATAATACAGTTATGCCCTACTTAACAACAGTTTGGTGAACGACTGACAGCATATTCGACAGTGGTCCTATAAGATGAGTACTATATAGGCCAGGTGTGCAGTAGGCTATACCATCTAGGTTTGTGTAAGTACACTCTGTGATGTTTGCACAACAACAAAATTACCTTATGACACATTTCTCAGGATGTATTCCTGTCGTTAAGTGATGCATGACTGTAAATAATATTGCTATCAGTCTTCACTTAACTTTTCAGGTTCATTTTTTATTAGTTTTAGTGCCTCTGATGGTTGTTAAGGGAACATAATTTTAAATATGCTTCACAACAATTACAAATAGTAATAAACTGCGTTTGTGTTTATTCTCAGTTTAGTTGGATGGCTTTATTCAAGTCCCTATGAATAAAAAATTCACCTCTACTCCAATCCTTGGGTTGAGAACAGAAACATTAACAGGTGCAGTTTATTAATTACTGATGGCTATTAGCCAATTAATCACTGATGGACTTTGGCAGCATCAAATACATCTTTCCTCCCTTGGATACTTGACATAATCGTTACTCTCAGTAATATTTATTAATCCCCCACATTTATTTAAAGCAGTAGTATATGAAGTGACCTCCAGTGAGTCTCACTCTTCCTCATTCTACAGGTGAGAAACCGAGGACCAGAGACGTTAGACAGAGGCAGGGCAGGGACTTAAATCCAAATTTTCCCTTTCTGAGTCAGTTCACTTCCTGTGTCTGATGTAAGAAATATTCTGAATCTGCTTCGAGAGTTGGTGCTTCCGTTTCTAACACAAATTGACACTTCAGGAAGACAAGAAAGCATTTTCCCCCCTACAATCATATACTTAGCCAGAAAAACACTAAATGCTTTCTTTGTGTGGAATATAATGCCAGATGATGGGAGGAAAAGAAATCCAGTGGCTTCCAGTGCCTGGCATCCAGAACGGGATGAATACATACTTGTGGCATTGAAAAGGTGCTGGTGGAAAGATGGATTTGAGTCTCACCTCTGCCGTGTACCAATTACATGACTTTGATCAAATTATATGCCCCCTCTGCGACTTGGCTTCCACATCCGTAAATGTAGAGAATAAAAACTACTTAATAGAATTAATGTGAGAATTAAATTAAATGTAAAAAGCCTGACTCATAGTACGTGTCAAATAAATATTCAGTTCCACCAAAAATGTGATATTTTCTCTTGAAGAGCTTATATTTGTAAAGAGACAAGGTACACACACACACACACACAATCAATCAATACAAATGTGTTACAGTAGCTTATTAAACACTATGCTCTGACTAAAAAGGAAAAAGAAAGAAAAAAAGAACAGACTAGTCCTACCAGCAGTTTGGAGAGTAAAATAAATCATCTAATTAATGGTCAAAATGACTAAAGAAAAAATTTACTAGAAAAAATGGGCAGCAAACATGTCTCCAGTTCTCATTTTCTTTACATCCCCTAATTACGACTTTGACTCATAATTAGATCGTCGTTAACATAAGACTCCATTAATTTAATGTACTATACTAATCCACCAGTATAACTTTCGTTGTGGTTTCCTACTAATTGTGAATTGCATGTGTTTTCATTGTGGTAATGACATGTGGTTACCATTGCTACTCCTCCAAGAGTGTGTAGCAAAATCCCTATCAGAATAAATACCGCTACAACCAACACCTCTATACAGCAAAAGATCTGCCTGCCCTGGACAGAGCCAGTGTATTTCAAACAGGCACTAGCTAAATCGTAGTAAATCCTTTGGGCACCATCTTGTTATGGGATTTCACATATATAAATACTTGAAAGTTTTATTCTACATAAAATTTCTGTAACTGCTTTGTACTTCACTTGGATCAGCAAGTTATTGAAATTTTGATGTAGATGAAAGTACTGTGAGTGTTATATACGTCTATCCCAACGCTTGGAAATTAATCGTGTGCCTATAGAAATTTGGACTTTTCTCCCTACCGTAATTTAACATAGCCATGTAGATAGGGCCATGTGCAGCCACCATGGTAAGTAAACATATATTCTGGATGAGTTAAGGAAATGCTATAGGTGGGAGCCTTTACCTCACATTCCAGTACAAAATGATGACTACTTTAATTTCGCGATTTGGAATTCAGTTAGGTGATGGAGAGAACAGAAAGGAATAGACAAGAGGTTATTGGTGTTTGTGCACAAAATTTGATAATATTAAGAATGTGGGAGAGTGGGGTATATTTTGGTGTTTAAATGAAAAAAATGGTGAAGATAATCGGTTTTATGAATCTACCAACAAAACTTAAGAAATCACACTGAATATTATGATCTTTATTACTGGCTTCCATTATATAAATAGTCACCTCCTGGATCTAGCTATGTCTCAGAGTTCGACTTATGTCTCGTTTTAGCTATTTTAATATAGTCTTATATCTTTAAATCCTTTCACCAGTGTCGAGAAGATACTTAAAATGTGTATGTGTGTAATTCTTCTTGGCTGAAATAGAAATTTAACACAACGTAGTATGGCATAACTTTGTATTTTGGGGACTATATGTAGGCTGGAATATGACAAAAATAGAGCATTAATAAAGTAGATTGAGGAAATGCCCACAGAGAATACAAATGTACATACATACACATTTTAAATGCAATTCTCCAGGACTTACTGCAAAATATTTAAAAGATGTATTTGAAATTTAGACTGCTTTCCGGCAGTAGATTTGGTAGATCTGGCAAATTATTACCGATATTCCAACTTCAGGACAATTTTTCTTGAGCTTTTCAATTCCCCCATGTTAATAGAGGATGTGGTTATCATTTCAGTGAGATGAAGATAATACTTGTGTCTTGAATTTTTAAGAGGCACATTTTCCTAATAGTGCTGTCTAGTCCTTCCCACAAAGGTTACTGATGGACCAATGACCTCTCACTTCCTTCCATTTTCCAGATTTGCCTCAGCATCCTCCTCCACTGGGCAAAAAGACTTACATGACAATGGAAATTAGATATTCAGAAGTCATCCTTGCCTAACGCCACCCTAAACTCTAAGTTAATATTTATATTCTCCTCCCCTTCCCCCTGATTACAATCCAGTATTTCCTCAAGACACTCTGAAAGAGATGTAATTAATGTGACAATGCAAATATGTGTAATCAATCATTTGCTAACATGATAGCATGTATCTGTTTTCACACTGATGCTTAAGATGTGTTGACCGGTTTTCCTGGAAAATCATATCCAAACCAGCTTTATTCACAGTAAGTAGTCACTATAACATTTCCAAATTAACCTTTTAAAAACAGTCAACTAAGGGGGCCCGCCTGCTGGTGTAGGGGTTAAGTTCAAATACTCTGCTTTGGCAGTCCAGGGTTCACAGGTTCAGATCCTGGGCACGGACCTCATCAAGCCATGCTGTGGTGGCATCCCACATACAAACTGGAGGAAGATTGGCATAGATGTTAACTCAGGGACAATCTTCCTCACCAAAAAAAAAAAAAAGTTAACTAAGCTTAAACAAAATCGGGACTATTTAGCCAGTGGAGGAAATCAATTTAAATTACATTTTGCATTTACAGTAAGGCTCTTTCCCTAAGGATTGTTTACTCCTGAGGTTTGGTTTCATTTTTGGTTTTAAAATAAAGGTAGACAAGTGTACTTTAAATCTTTTTTTTTTGTTTTTTAACTAACATATGTTCTTTATATGTTCTCTATATTCTTTAGTCAGCAATCAAAATTTGGGGTGATAATTACACTATTTCCCCTTGTTTATGGAACCCCCTAACCATTTGCTTTACAGTTTAACACTTATATTTTCATGATTCATATCAAACTTGCTTCCAAAAAAGTTCAAGACAGTACTTTAAGATGAAATACGAGAGAATTTTTTTTATCTCATTTGCCCTTTCCATTGACAATTTAGAAAAAAAAAATTCTCTTAAAAAGCATCTGTATCCACAAAAACCATGTGAAAAACAAACAAAAACTCTTCATGGTAGTTTCAAATATTTTTTGTATAAAAAACAGCAAAAAAAATGGTTAGTGTACACATTTACTAATATGGCCTAAAAAATGTTATTTGCAAAATCCAAAGGTTTGGAATACTCTATTTGTACTATCTCCACATATAGCTGGAGTGAGGACAGCAACGAAGGTAGAAAGAGAGCATTTTTCTTTCATAGACCAATATTTAAATCTTCTAGTTCTTAATCCGCTTTGCAAGATTATTTCAATACCCATATCCTAGATGAAAACTGGTGTTAAGTCCCTCAAAATCTCACCTTCTTATTTAGACTTTCCACTTGAAAATAAGTAAAAATATCTTCAGGATATTTCCTGATACCCTCCTCTCCCCCTAATATTGTGTTTTAAACTAGGAAAATGAGAGTGTCAATATAAGCGCACGTTTCTGATCTTTAACTATCTGGAAGTTTCCCTGAGACTTACAGCAAAGCAAGTAGACTTTCTTCTCGTCTTTAATTACTCAGGCTATACACAGAGCTTTTAACACTGAACCTGCCATACTGCGACTTTCCTTGTCTTTAAGGGCCAGTGGGCAGCTACTAAACTAGGCAATGGTTCTCCCCGGTTAGGGAGGTGAAGCAGCAGGAGGAAACACCCGAGGTAGACGTGTGGGAGCTGCTGAAAAATGCGAAACCCAGCGAGTACGAGAAGATCGCCTTTCAGTACGGCATCACCGACCTGCGCGGGATGCTCAAGCGGCTCAAGCGCATGCGCAGAGTGGAGAAGAAGAGCGCAGGTGAGCCCTCCCCGGGAAGCGTGGCAGCGGGTAGTGCTTCTTGTGCACGCGGAAGACGTGACTGTGAACCCGTCCTGTCATCCCTCCTATCTCCCGCTGGGTTTGGGGTAGGACTAGCTGGGGCTAGATTTGCAGGGGTTACGCTCCTCTTGGTTACCTTTGCCTTCAGGTGAAGTGGTTCACCGCCCCGCACATCGCTGGCTATGCGGGTAGCAGACAGACCTCTACTGAAGGTTTAAGGTAACAGAAGAATTACATTTTGGCATCACATACAACATACAATGGAATACTGAATATTCCCGCTGTCACTGGGAATTTCCCAGTGGCCTCTTTCCCCAGCCTCCACATCTCCCTCACTCTCAAATTCTTGATTCTTCTTTAGGCAGAATAGATTCGATGTCTGTTTTACCGTCATATTCTTCCACCCCTTTGATGGGCTGTGGGAAATTTTCTCACATCCGACAAGGTTATCAAAGTGTTTTGTTAAAAAGCTAAGTTGTCCCTGGGGATCTGAAGTGGATGCAGTTTGTTGTGGTTTTAAATACCTTTTTAAAATACTTTGAGATGTTGAAATTTAAAATAAAGTTTAAGAAGAGAAATACATTTTAAATTGATCATTGGCTCTTCAGAGTTTCCTATACTTGGTCGTTGTCCGTTATCAGTTTTAGGACACATCGAGTTCATACATCAATCCTATTGTTTACTGTTTGTGTTCAAATAGAATTTAAAGGATCTCACCCCTTTTTTAAAATCTGCCCTTATTTCTAAACTTCTGTATAAACTGGTTGGGAGATGGCTCCAGAGAAATGTAGAAGTGTTCGTTTTGTTTTGTTTACATAACCCGGCCTTTCTCACTGTCTCAGAACTCCCGGAGTTTTATTTCTGAGGGGTGTCTGGGACTGAAAGTCAAAAACATGTGGATGCTAAGGTGGAGAGCCAGCTGACCTCTTTCCCCCATGCTGGCCGTTCTTATTCTTATCACTTGCCTCTGGACTGATGTCTTGAGGTATGTGATAGATAACTTACTTTAAATCTAGCGTTTATTTTATCCTGTTAAAATATGGGGAAGTCAGCTTGTTTAAGCAATAGCGTAATAAAGTAGGACTGATGGAAATACAAGGATGACAACTTCACAAGGTGTTCCACACTTATATGTATTTTCCAAACTGTCTAAATGAGAATTATTATCTTTAAAGTCAGAAAAAAAATTATGAAATTTTAAAAAAGAGATTAACTATCTCGTTTAGGACCTTTCAAGACAATACTTTTAAAAACTACTATGTTCTATGTTATTTAAAATATTTTGAAATCATGAGTGATGCAGGGTTGGTGAGCGGAGGAGTCAAAAGAAAGATTTCTTGGACTCTCAAGATCTGGCAGTAGTGCTCTTTTATTTAGAGAATAGTGTGGAATAGCATGGGGACAGGACCCATGGGCAGTCAGAGCTGCTGCTGCTGCCATGGGGACGCAACCCACGGGCAGTCAGAGATGCTGCTGGCATGGGGAGCTGCTGCTGCCACCGCTGACATGGGGACAGGACCCATGGGCAGGCAGAGCTGCTGCCAGCTTGTTGCTGCTGCCCCTTCTGCTGCCAACATGGGTGGAGAGTAAGGCTAAATTTAAGGCATAGGTATGTGAGTTATCTCTTTACAAGACAAAAAATGTTAAAATGGTACCAGTGCCAGTAGGGTCCGGCCATTGGGCAGTCCCACAACTTTTAGATAAGAATCAAACCGGATTGAGTAAATGGCAGAAGTCACCACTTAAATATTATCTTCAGCTAAAGACAAAGGAGGATTTTGGGGAGGGGGGGTCAGTTACATGAGATTGCCAGACAATAAACAACTTAAGTCCTTGCCTTGCCCATTAAGAGTTTCCAGAGGTAAGGCCATCCCCCTTCTTCCTGGCACAGAGAGGAGGCATCTTTACAGATAGAGGTTTCCCTTAGAAATGTAAATGTTTCCCAACAAAGGGCAAGCAAATTCCACTCCTTGGAGCCTGCTTCTCATCTGCAGTTTTAAAATTAACCAGCCTAAAAATCCTCATCAATGAGTTCCTAACTATATATGTAAGGGGTGTTTTAAACATGCCGCTATTTAGGCAAGTTTCCACAGTACAAAAACTTTGATAAGTCTGCTCTTTCAGTTAGTCAAAGGCATTCAATTTGATCTTATGTCATTGAATTTATTTCATAAATTTTACGATAAAAAACTATCTGCAATATAGAAGAAGTACAAAGATAATACCAATGATCCTGACAGTAATCATGCTAGGAGAATAAGCATGTTCTTCGAGTTAGATTTCATTTGGATGATTTATGTTATACATTCCCCGAAGAATTAGGACAATCATTTTTAAAGCTTCCTCAATAATTCTTTTCTTATGTTTCTTCCAAAAGCACGTGGATTCTCCTTAAATTTTTAAACCATCTTATTGTATATAAGTCAACACAGAATTCTAAAATATAAAGGATAATTTGGAAGCTTCCCAATTTTTTTCTTCTCTGAGTCTCACTTCTTCATTTAGTTTTAGGTTCACATACATATACTGACCATTTAAATTTATAGCATTTATATATATGCATATTAACATAGTTTTTGCTTCTTCTCTCTATCAGCTTTTGCAAGAATTCTTGATCCTGCATATCAGGTTGATAAAGGAGGCAGAGTAAGATTTGTTGTAGAACTGGCAGACCCAAAGTTGGAGGTGAAATGGTATAAAAATGGTCAAGAAATTCGACCCAGTACAAAGTAAGTGGGCCTTGCAAATAATCAGTGATAACTATATAAAGCAAACAGTAGTTCGACTTAATTTTCTATGAATAAACGCACTTTTTAGTTTACAATGCAAAATCATATGGAGAGAGAGTAAAAACTTGTCATGTATTTTGGAACCATTAAAACTATAGCGCTAAATAAATAAAATCTTGTTTTACACTTTAATTCTATAAAGACTATTTCAGGTGACTCCCAATTATGGTTTTGTGTCGCTATAGGTTATATGCAATATTTCAGAGCATTGCCAAACTTCTCCCAACTTTTAAAATAAAATTATGAAAAATTTTGAAATATATATTTGATATGCCAGCTGGGAATCATACCTTATAATTAGATAACTTTTGTTTTTCCAGAATAGCATCTAAAGCCTGCACTTTATTATTTCTTGGCCCTCTCCCCAATGAAGGACACAGACTAATTCCTGATGTCTGATGGTATCGCTAGTCTATTATGAAACCACTTTACAGAGATTCTTCTCATCCTGCAAGATTTTCAACTCCAATATATTTTTTTAAGTTAACAAGGAGTCACAAGCATGTTTATAAAAGACTTTAACCCTAAAAATCTGTCACTTCTGTAGCACAATTGGGTGGTTTCCAATTTCTTAGTGTGGTCATGCCCACGGAGGGGCTGTGATGATGTTCGTATCTGGTAAAAATCTCTTGAAGGCGGCCTGAATTTACCAAAAATATAATTTTATTTGGTTATCTTTATCCAGAAAATGTTCTTTAATGTTTTGTTCTTGAACTCTTCAATTTGAGAATTTCCCAAATGAGAACTTTTTCTTTAGTGTGTTGTAATGCCCTACTATACCCATCCATAATCTAGGTCACAGATAATTAAGTTTTGCCATCTTTTTGGCTTTTAGCTTTTTGTTTTCAAATACTCGAGTTCCTTCTTAGTAGATGGTAACTGTGATATGACAACACTAGCTCTTAAGCTCATTTAAGAGAATATCACATTCGATAGAATTACTATATCAGTGTATTATTGGTGATTGTGTTCACACTATTTGTTAAACTGTATAATCATTTATTCACCCTACAAAATTTGTGTCACTGGGTTAAGCGAAGAGTGGAATCAATGAATCAATGAATAAGATCAAGTCTCTGCCTCTCTATAAAGTAATCAGTAAAGTAAATGAATTTTTAAAGATGTACAGAGTGGAACTGGACCAGTGGCATAGTAGTTAAGTTCACACGCTCCACTTCGGTGGCCCAGAGTTTGCAGGTCCGGATCCCAGGTGCAGACCTACACACCGCTCATCAAGCCATGCTGTGGCAGCATCCCATACAAAATAGAGGAAGATTGGCACAGATGTTAGCTCAGTGACAATCTTCCTCAAGCAAAAAAAAGTGGAGGGTTGGCAACAGATGGTAGCTCAGGGCCAATCTTCCTCAGAAAAAAAAACAAGTACAGAGTTAAAAATCTCCCTGACAACCTCAGCCAACGCTATTATCCAAAAGTGGGTTAAAAAAATTTAAATAGCAATGTGAGTACTGATTTATATTTGAAGTAAGAAACTTTATATAAAAGAAAATAATAACAGGAATTAAATATTATGTAAGTATGCATATGTGTTACATTATGTATTACAAAGATAAAAGTTGGTTTCATGTTTGATGTTTATTAAACTATGTAAGATATGCTACGTAAATGGCAGATCAAAATTATGTCCCTGACTTTCAAATATTACCAAATTACAAGCCAAATTTGCTGGCAATAAAGAAAAGAATAAAATCAAGTTCATGGACTCTGTTTATCTTTCTTGTTTTTAAAACAGATACATCTTTGAGCATAAAGGATGTGAAAGAATCATGTTTATCAATAACTGTTTGCTGACAGATGATTCAGAGTATTATGTGACAGCTGGTGATGAGAAATGTTCCACTGAGCTCTTTGTGAGAGGTAAGTGAAGTCTCTTACCCTAGTCATTAGGAGACGATGGCTTTCCTTCTCCTGGGGTGATAAAATTTTGGTGATGAGGTGAACTCTTGAGCTCCAGAGCAGAGCCAGTAGTACCTCCAGAAATGGTTTAGCTTGGGTATTAGATTGGCTCTGCGTTGAAGTTTCTCTACACTGGCAGTTATTGTGTATCCTAATTAATCTTCAGTTTTGTTGAAGACTAGAAAAGCCAAGGGGAGAAAAAAATTACTGAGTAAAAATGCCTTGTGGTTTTGACTCAAGCAAACAAAATTTTGCAATATAATTATTCTAGTTGTTACTTCTGAAACCCAACAAAGTCTATTGGATAATTGTCATTTCACACCCTCAGTTGATCACAAATAGATTTCTCTTGAAACCAGCTTCATTAGTAAAAGGGCACCAGTGGTTGGCACTGAGAGTGCTGAAGACCATCATTTACTAAGACTTTGTGAAAAGAGATGGAGGGTGTCAATGAAGCCATGAATCACTTATTTCCTTTATGAGGCCCTCTGATTAAGACAACTCTGCAATCTCTGCCATCCGTCTAGAACCAGAATCAAAGAATGTTAGTGTTGTGCGTTCTCCTTCATCAGAAGTATCTGTTTGTCCAAATATCTTATTTGCCAAAAGAAGGATATTTGATACATTTTGTCTGCTCTTTAGAGCAATCATTTATTTGATTTGAAGAGTTCTGAGAAAATTGGAAGAACTTACCTAGGGTTGCCATCTATTTATTTTGCCAAGAAAAGTCACAAAAACCTCACCTACTATCTACCGCCATCTAACCATAGCTCTATGATAGATAATACTTTTTACTGTTGGTTTTTCATCTGAACAAATCCCAGGGTCGTGAGGCAGGTTTTGGACCTTTAATGATGCTGATTCTCCTCTTTTTCACACTAGAGCCTCCAGTTATGGTGACCAAACAGCTGGAAGACACGAAAGCTTACTGTGGGGAGAGAGTGGAATTAGAATGTGAGGTTTCTGAAGATGATGCCAATGTAAAATGGTAAATAGCTTTTCTGAGGTCTATGCATTTTTAATAGACCAAAAATATGTTCCTTCATAGTTTGGGGAACAGAAAATGGCTTTTACACATAGGAAAAGAATCTCAACCCCATTTGTGTTAGTAGAAATGGTAACTAAAACTATACTAAGATTCTTGGGTTTTTGTAACCTATGAAATTGAAAAACAGTTCAGAAATCTATATTGGTGAGGATGCAGTAAAGTAGGTATTTACTAATAAATGGATGGCTCAAGATTACCCAGGTCTGTATGACTCCCAAGTCCGTGGATGCTCTAAACCTCTGAACCATGTTTCCTCTCTCTATCCCGTACTGGCACCTTAGGTGGAAAAATATACTTTTTGTTTTCATTTTATTCCTAGTCACTTTATTGTTACAGTAGCTCAGAAAAATATTTTAGACTGAGAATCATCAATTACTTTAAAAAATAAAACATATTTTTTTGGTTAAGTGGGAAGTATTTTCTCAAGTTCTCTGTGAGTAACCTCAAAATTAAAGACTAGAAGATTCGGAATCTTAAAATGAAATGCTTGTTGAGAAGTATATAAATTACACAGCAGGAATCTGTAGTAATTGGTACAGAGTAAGTTGTTTATTCTAATCCAGAATTATAGCCATCTTTAAAATGTATTAAAACATTGTTCTTACTAGTGTGTATCAAGAGCCCAAACGTGAGTGATATCTACTCTTAGCATCTTCATCTGATTGATCTTGAATGGAAAGAGGGGGTTATGTTCTTTTAATGTAATTCTTCCAACAATACTTGTTACAGGATTAACCCATTGATAGATTGATCCGTACATACTTTAACTCAACAAGTAGCTCTTGAGTGTCTGTTATCTACAGTGGGATGAAGCAAAAAGCAAGACCAACAAGATCTGTCTCCTGAAGGGTCTTTTATGAAACTTCTTTATAATCTATTTTAACTCAGGTTTAAGAATGGTGAGGAGATCATCCCTGGTCCAAAATCAAGATACCGAATTAAAGTTGACGGCAAAAAACACATTTTGATCATAGAAGGAGCAACAAAGGCTGATACTGCAGAATATTCTGTAATGACCACAGGAGGACAATCATCTGCTAAGCTTAGCGTTGACTGTAAGTCAGATTTCCTTGAATGTCTTCCACATTGGCTTACTGATACTGTTGCATTTGTTAATTCAGTTTTAGGAAAGTCAATCTATTTGATTCCTGCTTGTGGAAATTTTAAATGTGTAAAATTGGATTCCATGCTAGCTGAGTGTCTATGTCATATCAATTAGAGACTATGAGAAAAGAACCAGCTACCCAATTTAATAACAGAGCATCAATATTAGGAAGAAAGTATAAAAATCACCTGCCAGAGAAGTTACCCAAATCGTTGAGAAATATTTTAATCCCAAAACCATATAAATGGATGATAAATACTTAGATATGATGTCAAATCCTGATAGTTTATTTAATCCATGGAATTCCTTAAATAAACATTCAACATTCTGCAATTACATTTGGGTGAGAAGTTACTCAAACTAATAGGGCTCAGTTAAGAATACTGTAAGAGCTCATTTGCTAACAGGATTCAGAGGCATGAGAGAATTCATGTACTTCCCTAAATGCCTTCTAATAGTAGTCAGTTCTCAATGGCAGCATCTGCCCCGTCCAGTTACCCATGAAATTTAAATAGCAAATCCCTCAGGAAGATTGGTAATACATGCAGAGCAGAAATCCGGCTTCCTTACTTCTTTCTTAGTCTGGTTATGATTCATATGATCATTAAATTATTCAGAAGTAATCTCAATACATTCCCTATGTTTCATGGAATGTTGGCCATTTTAGTTTAATATCAAAAAATTTTTTCAAGAATAGACAGATCCTTATCTGATATTTATATCCATTGAAAGCAATTACAGTTGGTTCTGCTATAATACAACATATGCATATCTAAAAATCACTATGCTGGCCAAAGTCATGCAATAAAAACCACAGGACTAATGGGGAAAGTGGGGTTATGGGCACAACGTGCAAAAATTTTATCAGTGACACATTAAAAATAATGATAAGAACCCAACAAAAAGCAATAGCACAGTTTTACACATGTTAAATGGTTAATAAACACTGCAATAAATATGGCACCTTGCCTTGAAAAAGACCTTAAATTTGTTTGTGGAAGCAGTGTCAGAAGTGTTGCAGCTTGTGACCTGTTGTGAAGTGGTGGAAGGAGGTTATTTGAAATGGATGGATAGTGATAATCTCAGATGTGCATGGGTGCAGCTCATATCACATGGTTTAACTGGTAGCTGGTAGATGTTTGAGGTGCATGTATTTTGTACAGTTCTACCTGGCTCAGTTCTGCTGGGTGTAGTTTTCTGGATTCACCTGGTTTTTCTCATGAATGAAATCATGCATAATCAAACATGAAATTTGTGTTATGTTTCAGTTGTCCCCTAACATATTAATTGGAATGAATTCTCATTTTTAAAACAAGCAGTATAGCAAAACTGACTGTATCATTGTTAAATGACACCATCTTAGCCTGTCTGGAGTCTGGGTTTGGCACTTACAACTGTCTATCATTTCTGTAGTGAAACCTCTGAAGGTATTGACACCTCTGACTGATCAGACTGTAAAACTTGGAAATGAAATCTGCTTGAAGTGTGAAATCTCTGAAAACATAACAGGAAAATGGACTAAAAATGGCCTACCCATTCAGGAGAGTGACCGTCTAAAGGTTGTTCACAAAGGAAGGTAAAGAAGCAAGGCGACCCATAAGAGAGGACTGGTCCTCATCTCCACCTTCCCCACTTCCTAAATTACATATATGTTAAAGACGTTTGGAGAGTAGTCCTAGGGAAAGAATCTATTTCTGTTCCTTGCTTCCAAATAGCAAGAACATGTGATTTCTCTGTTGAACATCATGTCCTACCTGTGATGCTGTATCTTCCCCTCACAGTATGGTGCTTTGTGCTTTGTCTGTTCAAAACCTGTCAACTGATTCTTTCCATCTAAATGTGAAGTTAGAGGAATGATATTGAATTCTAGTTGAGAAGTTGGTTGAAATGGATTAACTGTCCCTAACCAATATGCATTGCATGACCTTTCCACAATTTTCAGGGAGGGCATAATATCCTGGAATCAAGATCTAAGGCAAGGGTTCTTAACCTTGAATCATGGATCATGAAAGAACTTCAAGGGGCCCCATAAATCCCCTGAAATTGTAAGCAAATTCTCTGTGTACAAAAATACATGCTTTTCTCCAGAGACTGGATCCGTAGCGCCCATTGGATAGTCACTAGTTCATAACCCCAATAAAGTTAAGAACTGTTGCTCTTGGTTTCATATATAAAGCCAAAGTCAAGATTATTCTTGATAATTTCTTGAATCTTAAAAGCCTTTTTAAAGCTATGACGTGAAAAAAGGAATAGTAGACTTGCATAGATAATGACCAGGCTGTATTTGCAGAGATAATTTCGTATACTCGAAAATGAATATTTAATGTGGATCAATAAATAGGATAATTAAGTCTTCACATTCCTATTGTGTGTCTCTCTCTTTCTCCTCCCCACCCTCTCCCGCCCCAGCCTGCACAAAACAAGTTAATCAGATAAAGGCCAGGTGTCTCTTCAGTTTGGTCATATCTAAATCTTTGCAAACTCTTAGAAACATGTTTTTCTTATTTCCTTAGAATCCACAAGTTAGTGATAGCCAATGCTCTCGTTGAGGATGAAGGTGATTATGTATTTACACCAGATTCCTACTCTATTACTTTGCCTGCCAAAGTTCATGTTGTTGGTGAGTAGATAAAAGAAATCATTGCAGGGTTGTGTTCTTGCTTGTTTGTTTTCCTTAGCTTGGAAATATAACATATTCAAAACTATGTGATATTTAAAGAAAAAATACATGAATTGGTATTAACCACTAATCATAATAGATGATTCTTAAGAAGTCTTACAATGAAGTCGTTTTGCAAGATGCCAGGCACCAATTACTTTGACTCCTCTTATCTTCTTTTTGGCCAGATAAAATATTGGTTGCCACCAAATGTTTAGCACTAGCCAAGTACTAGCCCAGATTTTCACACAGAAGTGACTGTCTGATAACAAAGGCTATGTTTAATATTCTAGATCCTCCTAGGATCATCCTGGATGGTCTTGATGCTGACAATACAGTGACAGTAATTGCAGGAAACAAGCTTCGTCTTGAGATTCCTATCTCTGGAGAACCACCTCCTAAAGCGCTTTGGAGCCGAGCAGATAAGGTTTGTTCTACACAGACACAGACACACACACACACACACACACACTGCCCACCCCACTCCCTGCCTTCCACTAGTGAGATGAAAGAAGAAGGCAAAGAAATTTACAGGGGTACAGTACAGATATAATTCCTTTGACGAAGAAAGATAGCTGACTTTCAGGCAAATCTTATAATCCTTCATTTGGTTTCCATATTTCTGACTACATACTATGTGACCAGGCATGTTTTTATGTGCAGGGAACAAGATCTCATCTTTCACTCTAATGGGTGTCAGAGAATGGGGTGAAAGAGGAATAGACAATGAATTATTAAATAAATAAATAAACAAAATCACTTTGGATGGTAATAAGTGCTATGAAAATTAAAAAAAAAACAAAACAGGGTAATGTGATTAGCAAGTGACAGTGTGGTGAATGAAACAGCCTCTATCAATGACAACAAGGAACCCATTATGTGAAGACCAAAGGAAAGAGATCTCTGGGTAAAGACAATGCAGTGCAAAAGACAAAAGAGAGAGAATGAGCTTGATGTGTTGGAGGAACAGAAAGAAAGCCAGTGTGGCTGGGGCAGAGTGAGTGAGGAGGAGAATAGTAAAAGAGATTGGAGTGGTAGAGTAGTGCCAGCTCAAGTGTGACTCTGTGGCTTCCTATATAAACTGTTTCATGGGCAGTAAAGCTATTCCATATTATACTATAATTACAGATACGTGTCATTATAGGTTTGTCAAAACCCGTAGAATGCACAACACCAACAGTGAACCCTAATGTAAACTGTGGACTTTGGGTGATAATGATGTGTCAATGTAGGTTCATCAATTGTAACAAAAGTACTGCTCTGATGAGGGATGTCAATAGTGGGGGAGGTTGTGCGTGTGTGGGGATAGAGGTTATATGAGAACTCTCTGTACTTTCAATTAAATTCTGCAGTGAACCTAAGTCTGCCCTAAAAAATAATTTAACAATAAAAGAATAATTGGAGAGTGTTTCCTCCTTTTCTATTTTCTGGAGTGAAAAAAAAAAGCATCATTAAGCTGTGGAAAAACTTCAAGCAGTCAAATATATGTGTAGTTGGAGTGTCCAAAAAGGGGGACAGAGAAATATTTAAAGGAATAATGGCCAAAATCTTCCAAATTTAATAAAAACTATAAAATCACAGATGTAAGAAGCTCAATAAAACCCAAGCACAATGAGCGTTAAGAAAACTACATGAAGACCCATCATAATCAAAGTGCCCAAAACCAGTGATTAAGAAAAAAATCTTAAAAGCAGACAGAAAAAAAAGCCACATTAAATACACAAGAACAAAGGCAAGGATGACTGCAGATATCCCTGGAAGCAAGGCAAATGAGAAGACAGTGGAGCAAGATCTTTAAAGAAAAAACCTGTCAATCTAGAGTTCTATACTCAGGAGAAATAATTTTCAGAAATAAAGGCAAAATAAAATTATTTTCAAATATACAAAAGCTTAAAGAAATCATCACCAGCAGACCTGAACTCCAAGAAATGCTAAGAGAAGTCCTTAAGTTAGAAGAAAAATGATGCCAGATGGAAACATTTTCACAAAAGAACAAACAGCATCAGAAATGGTAACTATATGTATAAACATATTAGAGTTTTTTCTTATTATTTAAATCTCTTAAAAAGATAATTGTTTAAACATAAATAATAACAATGCATTGTGGGTTTATAACATAAGTGTAAGTAAAATTTATGACAATAAAAACATAAGATCAAAAGGAAAGAAATGGAAATAAGGACTGGGAGGGATGAAATGAAAGTATGCAATTGTAAATTTGTTTTGCTATACATGAATTATTATAATATCACATGAAGGTAGACTGTGAAAAGTTAAGGATGTACACTATAAACTCCAAAGGAACCTTAAAATAATAAAACAGAGTTGTAGCTAATAAGCCAACAAAGGACATAAAATGGAATCAAAAAAATATTTAATTTATCCAAAATAAGGCAGAAAAAGAGGGACAAAGAACAGTTGGAACAAGTAGAAAACAAATAGCAAGATGATAGAATTGCAAAGAGATATATATAAATTAGAGATTTGAGTGCTCTTCTCTCAATAGTTTACAGAACAAGAAGACAGACGATCAGTAAGGATATAGAAGATCTGAACAATACTTTAACCATCTTGATCTAATTGACATTTATGGAACACTCCATTAAACAAAGCAGAATGGGCATTATTTTAAAATCCACGTGGGAAATTTACCAAGATAGACCATAAATAATTCTCAATAAGCATAAAAACATTCAAGTCACATAAGATATGTTCTCCGACCACAATGGAATTAATTAGAAATCAATAACAGAAAGAACTCGGGAAAATTTCCAAGTAACATTTTTCTAAATAACTCAAGGATCAAAGAAGTAATCAGAGAGAAATTAGGAAATATTTATGAACACACCACTTATCAGAATTTGCAAAATGCCACTAAATCAGTATGAAATGCCTATATATCTATTAAAGAAATGGAATTTGTAGTTAAAAACCTTTCACAGAGAAAATTCCATGTCTAGATAGCTTTACTGGAGAGTTCTACCAAATATTTGGGAAAAAAATAATACCAATCCTACACAAACTCTTCCAGAAAATTGGAGACACAATAGGAGTATTTTCCAACTCATTTTTGAAGTCCGGTATTCAAAACCAGAAAAAGACATTACAAGAAGAGAAAACCACAAAACAATATTACCTGTGAACATAGATGAAAAAGTTCTAAACAAAATTTAGCAAATCAAATCCAACAATTTATAAAAGGAATAATACATTATGAGCAAGTTGGGTTTATCCCAGGAATGCAAAGACTGGTTTAACGTTTGAAAGTTGATTAATATAATTCACCATATTAACAAACTTGGGGAAATAAGTACCATCATCTCAATTGACACGAAAAACATTTGACAAAATTCAACATCCATTCCTAATAAAAAAATCTCTCAGCAAACTAGGAAGTGAAAGGAACTTCCTCAACATAATAAAAGACATCCATGAAAATCCTACAACTATCATCCCACTTAAGGGTGAAAGACTGAATGCTTTTCCCCCAAAATCAGGAACAAAAGAGAGAAGATGTCCACTCTCACCACTTCTGTTAAACATTATACTGAAGGTTCTAGTCCAGACAATCAGACAAGTAAAAGAAATTAAAGACATCCATATTGGAAAGGAAGAGGTAGAATTGTCTTTATTTGCAGATGACATAGTCATTGATAGAGCAAATCCAATGTAATCTACAAAAAAGTCTACTAGAAGGGCCAGTCCAGTGGTGCAGTGGTTAAGTTCGCATGCACTGCTTTGGCGGCCGGGGGTTCCCTGGTTCAGATCCCGGGTGTAGACATACACACCACTTGTCAAGCCATGCTGTGGCAGCGTCCCACATATAAAGTAGAGGAAGATGGGCATGGATGTTAGCTCAGGGCCAATCTTCCTCAAAAAAAAAATCTACTAGAACAAATGGTCATAGTAGCCCTATTTGTAATATCCAAAAGCTGAAAACAATGCAAATGCCTAGCAGCAGGTGAATGGGTAAACAGATTGTAAGATATTCATACAATGGGATACTTCTTAGCAATAAAAAGGAATGAATTACTGATATATGCAACAACTTGGGTGAATCTCAAAATAATTATGATGAGTGAAAGAACAAAAAAATGCATTGTTTTTAAATCCACTAAAAAAAATCTGACAATACCAAATGCTGACAAGGATATGGAACAATTAAACTCTCATACAGCACTGGTGGGAATGCAAAATGTTGTATCCACTTTGAAAAACAGTTTGCCAGTTTTTTATAAAGTTAACCATGCGCTTACCATACAACTCTACAAAGCTAATCCTAGGTATTGACCCAGAAGAAATGATGACACAAAAACCTGTACATGAATGTCCAAAGCAGCTTTATTTATAATTGTTAAAATCTGGAAACAACCCAAAAGTCCAATTGTACATACACACAGTTTGTACATACGTAAACTGTCTGCACGTGGACTATACCATGGAATACTTCTCAACAATAAAAGGGAATTACATGTAGTAACATGGATGAATCTAAAAAGCATCATGTTAAGCAAAGTGAAAACTCAAAAGGCTGCATACTGTTAGATTCCATTTATATGACATTATGGAAAAGGGAAAACTATAGGAACAGAGAAGAGTCCAGTGGTTGCCAGGGATCCGGGTGTGGGGTTAGTGAGTTGACTGTCAAGGAACGTCAGGACACCACTGAAGGTAACAGAAATGGTCTGTATCTTAATTGTGGTGGTGGGTACACAATCATATAATTTGTCAAAATTCCCAGAACTGTATATCTAAAAAGTGTGAATTGTACTCTATGTACTCTAATTATAGCACAGCAAACAAACAAAACAAGCAAAATGAAATATAGGAAACTAAAGAGGATAATGTAGCACCATCCTAAGTAAATACTTCTCTTTTCACATTAAAAAAAAAAAGCAGAATACCTTTTATAATCTTAAGACTAAAAGTTGGCAAATATGAGGAGATTTTGTTCTATTATAAAATAGAAGAATTAGGAAAACTATTTAAGATATTCTTACTGTTGTCACAATCTTACATTACTGAAGATGTATGGGTCCTCATCTAGACACAAAAGAGTAAAGAGTTATCTTAATGGTTAGTAGCAAATTACCCAGTTTCTAAATAATCTTGACCTTCTCTGTTTTACCCCTTTGTATATTGGCTGCTCATTGTCGTATAGAAGATACGACTTGGGAATCAGAAAAATGTAATGCTGCTTTAAATTTCTGGTTTAAGAAAGAAAGAAGTATAGAAGAAGATGATTATGGAGAAGGAGGAGGAGGCAGGGCAGGGAGGAGGAGGAAAAAAATAAAAGAAAGAAAATGTAATAGAAGGTTCAACCTCACTACATCATTCTGTCTTTACTTTGGGAATTAGATGTTCATTCTTTTGTGTCCTATTGGAAGGGAAAAATCAATACTCAACAACTTGTATAGAAAATTGGCATCACAGCCTTCTTCAAACCTTTTCAATATTTAAAAATTTTTGAGACTTCTAAAGAAATGAACACTTCATTATTTAGTTTCTGATATGAGTTTAAGTATTTCTAATTTCATAGACGAAGAGACTCCTCTCCTAGAATGACACTTCAGCACTCACATTTTTAGTCCTCCAACTTTTTCTTTGGTGAGTTAATGGTTAGGCGGCTTTGGAGTCAAATCCCACTTCTACCACTTCTTAGCCATGTGGCCCTGGGCCATAGTTTTCTCCTGTGTAAATGGCATGATAATACAGTAGCCCCCGCTTATCCGCAGTTTCACTTTCTGTGGTTTCAGTTACCCATGGTCAACTGTGGTCTGAAAATATTAAATGGAAAATTCCAGAAATAAATAATTCATGAATTTTAAATTGTGCACTGTTCTGGGTGGCGTGATGAAATCTCGCACCGTCCCACTCCGTCCTGCCTGGGACCTGAATCATCCCTTTGTCCAGCAGATCCATGCTGTATATGCTACCCGTTGGGTGGCCACTTAGCTGTCTCGGTTATCAGATCAACCATCGCAGTATCGCAGTGTTGGTCTTCAAGTAACCCTTATTTTACTTAATACTGGCCCCAAGGTGCAAGGATAGTGATGCTGGCAGTTCGGATATGCCAAAGAGAAGCCATAAGGTGCTTCCTTTAAGTGAAAAGGTGAAAGTTCTCGACAAGAAAAAAATTGTATGCTGAGGTTGCTAAGATCTATGGTAAGAACAAATCTTCTATCCATGAAATTGTGAAGAAGGAAAAAGATATTCATGCTAGTTTTGCTGTCACACCTCAAATATATATGTATAGGAAAAAACATAGTACATATAGGGTGTGGTACTATCTGTGGTTTCAGGCATCCACTGGGGGTCTTGAAATGTGTCCCCCAAAGATAAGGGGGGACTGCCCTACCTTTGCCCTTAGAGTTGATGGAGGATTAAACTAAGAACATGTATGTTAGGCATTGGCACCATGTCCAGCTTAGGTTACAAGGCAGTTTGAAATAGTTCTTTTTGTTGCATAGATCATGCCACATTTTGTTTCTTTCCTCCTTAGGCTATTATGGAGGGCAGCGGCCGGATAAGAGCAGAATCTTACCCTGACAGCAGCACTCTAGTTATTGACGTAGCAGAAAAAGAAGACTCTGGTGTTTACCACATAAACCTGAAAAATGAAGCTGGAGAAGCACATGCGAGCATCAGGATTAAAGTTGTAGGTAAGTCTTCCGGGTCAATAAACTTCTAGAATCAAGTTGACATGTCTAGATACAGACTTTGCCAGCTCTTGTCTCTCTCAGCTTTCTAGGTAGCCAACAAAGAGAAACACAGTGTAGCTATATTTTATAAACCACCATCTTTCCTTTTCTACCTTAGCCACACCTTTTTTTTTTCTTTCCTTCTCTTTTCTTCCCTTCCCTTTTCTTTCTCTTTTCTCTTCTTGCCTAGAAGACTTATTGCAAGAATGAGTGGCAAAGGTTGGCCATTTGGGGTTTCTGGTGATTAGCTTTCCACAGTCATATGCCCTTTCAGTGCCCTCTAAAGTCACTGAAACACAATTACTGAATAATTTCCCATATCACAATCGTTACACAGAAGTAAGATCCACTTTGGTCCTTAGATGACCATCTAAGTGCATCTTGCCTAAGTTTGAAACCGAGTGAAATGAATCTAGTAGGCTATTGGTGGTCCGAGGTCTCATGATCTCTTCATCTCACTTTAGTTTTCCCTTAAGAATCATATTTCAAATTGATCATAAACTAAGGTCGCTTTATCAGGCACTGAACTATATTTACAAGACATAATAACCAGCCATTTTTTTATTTGGATTTCTACCAGTCAACATCTTGAATCTTCCAAATGATGTAAAGTTTACGATAATCAGTCCTTGATTCAGTTCTGCTGAAAGTTCATTTCATAGTTAAAAAAAAATCCGACATTGAGGCAATAATTTCTCAGTTACCATTTTCAAGGTAAAGAACAAGAGTCTTGGGTTCCATGTGGGACTTGTTCTCTAATGTCATGACACTAGTTTAAAGGAATTTTATTTTTATTGGGCTCACCTTCCTTTATCTCATACGGAGCATAACTTTTTGCCCAAATTAGTTACTAAGTGCATTTCAGTAAACTTGGAAAAGTACTCAGAAATAACACTGCTTCTACGATTATCACCAATAAATATGTGTTCTAATTAAAATTTTCCTTTATCTTCTCTCTCTCGTTTTATTTTACTTTATTTTTTGTCTGCTGCAGACATCCCTGATCCTCCAGTGGCACCGACTGTGACAGAGGTGGGAGATGATTGGTGCATCATGAACTGGGAGCCTCCTGCCTACGATGGAGGGTCCCCAATCTTAGGTAACTGCATGCTGGCCAGTCTGTGGAACTGCCAGTGGAATTGGTGTCCTCTTTATGCGCATTAGTAGAGAGTACATTTTAAAATATTGCTTTTGGAAGAAAACCTTTTATACTGTGACTTTAAATATCCATTCAAATTGTAATATATTTTGGGATGCTCTGTAAGTACTCAAGATTTAAATAGTTCTGATGAATATCATCTGACCGCCTGTTCTCTTTTTCTTTGATATTTATATTTAATATCTAATTTTGGAACAACTATAAGTCTAACTTTAAACTGTTATAGTCAGTAAATGTCTAGTTCCATCAAATGATGTCTATGAAGAAATTTCTTTTGGAATTAAATACTTAGAAGGATTTGCTTCCCCTGTGGAACAAGAATTTTTTCTACTGACTAATAATGAAACTCACACAATTAGTCATTTCCCCCTTCTTACCTACATTGCTGGGACTCAGAGCCAAATCTATAGCAACTGTATAAATTGCTATGGCCTACATATCTGTCATCTATTTTTCTCTCTTCTCTTCCTAATGCAATTTCAATTTTTTTCTAGTCCTGTTATTTTTATCTATATACTATGATGTTAATATTTGTATTCCCTATAATCTCTCTCAAACAACTGGTGGAAAAAAAGGAGTTAAAAATACATAGATACATGACTATTTCACTTAGTACTGAGAACATGGGAAATTTTAAGAACTTCTAATATCTGACCAAGTTTAATTCTGGAGACCAAGGAAAAACCTCTGTTTCCATTTTGTGTCACCTGCAGGGTACTTTATTGAGAGGAAAAAGAAGCAAAGCTCCAGGTGGATGAGGCTGAATTTTGATCTCATCAAAGAAACAACTTTTGAACCCAAGAAGATGATCGAAGGTGTGGCTTATGAGGTCCGCATCTTTGCAGTCAACGCCGTCGGCATCTCCAAGCCCAGTACGCCCTCCAGGCCTTTTGTTCCTTTGGGTGAGTCAAGAGAGATATGTCTGTGTCATGGGAATAGTTGCCCCAGACTGTGACTGCTTCCTTCTGACTTCTAACTGGAGCATACCCGGCAGCTTCTTGAAGTGGTGGGTGAAAAAGATTGGAGGTGGTTAGGGGCAATTTTCTAAGAAACCAAAAAAACCATTTTGGTAGAGTTGAATGTCTTCATAATGTAGGCCCCGAAATTCATTACCAGAATTCCAGTGACAGCGGTGGGTGGCTCCGGTTGCTGCTCCCCCCTGAAAACATGTAGCTGAGCCCATTGACTGATGGCCACTCTCCATTTGTCCTGAAGGTATAACACAGCACCTTGGTGTAAACCCTGTCACTAAAACAAATTGAGATCCATTCAACAAAGCACACTTGAAAACTAGTCTCTTTGCTTTACAATCACACCTTAAATGTTCTCCTAAATGAGCCAAAAAAGCCATTTCAATAAAGGCAAAGAAACACAAGATATGTCCACTATTTTATGATAGTGAAGCATTTTTTTTCAATAAAAAGAGGATTTAGTACAAGAGTTTATGCTTTAAAATTAGAGTTATGAGAAATTTACTCTAGATCATTAGATCCCAAACTTTGACTTTTTTCAGCTTCTTTGGGCCTCTCAGCTTCCCACGCAAATCTTCCAAATTGGAGAGAAAGTGTGGCAACATTTCTAAAATTTTTTATGTCTGGCAGATCTTTGCCTTCCACACAGCATATGCTCAAGGAGTCATCGCTAAATTGTATTGATATGTGGGGCTTCTGTATTTATTTTCATTTGTGACAGTTCATTTTATCACAGCTCCTGTGCCATAACGCTATAGTTAATAATTTCTTCTTTCTCTGTCTCTTTTATCTTTGAAGCTGTAACCAGCCCTCCAACTCTCCTGGCTGTCGACTCCGTAACTGACAACAGCGTCACCATGAAGTGGCGGCCCCCTGACCACATTGGTGCCGCAGGTTTAGATGGCTATGTGCTAGAGTATTGCTTTGAAGGATGTAAGTACACCTCATAGCTAAAATGAATACCATCATCAATAGGTGAGACATGCCTCCCTTTCTTTTGTTTCTCTTTCTTGGAAACTCATCTCCTTCCGACTGAAAATGACAACAAGCCAAAGGTCATCTTTCTAAAATGTATAAAAATTTAGCCCTTTTTTGATACTTGATGCTATAAATTGAGACCTCAAAAATATCCTTGCTAGGCTGCCAGATTGGGCCACATGATTGATCTAAGACGTAGGATCAAAACTGACAAAACTTCATGGACTCACACTTTTCGAACTGGTGGAATTAAATTGTACCAAGGAAAAATAAAAATCTAGTTAGGATGAAGCAAGTTGGAAATTCTATACACTATACTGAGCAGAGGTCAGCTATCAAAAGAGCTGGCTTGGGGCTGGCCCGGTGGCATAGTGGTTAAGTTCACACGCCACTAAGGTGGCCCAGGGATCACAGGTTCGGATCCCAGGCAGGACCTAGCACCACTCATCAAGCCATGCTGTGGTGGTGTCCCACATAAAATAGAGGAAGATTGAAATAAATGTTAGCTCAGTGACAATCTTCCTCAAGCAAAAAGAGAAGATTGGCAACAGATGTTAGCTCAGGGCCAATCTTCCTCACATACACACACACACACACACACACACACACAAAGAGCTGCCTATTTCTGGGTAATAATGAGAGACTGCATACAGTCACGTGCCACAGGATGACATTTCTGTCAATGATGAACTGTATATAGACAGTGGCTCCATAAGATTAGTACCACCTAGCCTAGGAATGTAGTAGGCTATACCATCTAGGTTTGTGTTAGCACACTCTATGATGTTTGCACAACAAATTGCCTAACAATGCATTTCTCAGAACTATCTCCTTCGTTAAGCGATACATGGCTGTATTTGGTTATCTGGTGATCATCCCCTGCCTTCTTAAAGTGAAAAAAAGAAGAATTAAGGACAACTTGCAGTGTTTAAAGGAAGCAGCATTAAATCCCACATGGTATAAGAAATGGGTTCAACATGTGGCAATAACTTGTCTCAGGGCTTGGATATATAAAAGTTTAATCACTTAACTTTAGGAAGGGAGGAGAGAGAGGGGGAAAAAAATCGCTGATAGAAATAATAGAAAAAAGAAAATGACACAAGAAAATATGGGCTAAAGTGTACCTAAAAACAAAAAAGATGTGAAATACACTGAGAGCCTCTTGTGTTTTTCATTTCCTACTTGTCATTATTGGAAAATGCATGAGTAAAAACCTCCCCAGCTCTGGACTCAGGCTCTGTTCTAGATGATGGTGGTAAACAATCCACCAGGAAAGCTTGTTCATATGTCCACACGTAATAGGCCAAGACTTAGCTTCTAAGAAAACTCTTTGGACCCCAAACTTTGACATGGATCTTACATGAAGGAAAGAGAGACTACAGAGCACATTTGGGAAATCAGAAATGTGGACACAAATGCACCTTCGCAGGAGGAAAACCTGTGTGGAGAAGAAACTTCTTATGAAGAGAAAACTGCTGAACAAGAAATCCAATGCCAGGCCCCTGGATTGAGGCTCCCCTGGAAATGACCATCCTTGGTCAGGAGGGAAGAAGAGGAGGGGGGAATGAAGCATCCTCGTAACAGTCAGGTCCATTTACGTGCGCTCTGCCCCCAGAGCACTATGCTTGAATTTTCCAGGGCTTAGTAAGCCGCTAACCAAACCAATGGGAAAAATATAAGAAAGTTCTGAGACTTATCCCAGCATGGGAGGGGGACAGTGTTACTAATGCAACACGTAAATTCTTTAGTGCTTCAGAATATGGTTTATTCCCATTCCATTCCCCTCCTCCCCGTTTCAAAAAATCATGAGCGCTCCACTCTGTTTTTTGTATCACCCAGATTTTCGCAATCTTACATGTGATGTGGCTGCTGACCACGAACCTTTTGTGTATGTGTGAAACAGAGCCAATTCTTTACTCTTTTCTTTCTGATAGGTTTAAAAAGTAAGAAGATACAGCAAAATGATAGATGGCTGTCATTTTGATGTTACCCACCTTAGATAAAATACAACGAAGTGTATTTTACATAATTTTGTGTGTGGTCTGTGTAGATACATATGTATATTCATATATACATATGTATATGTACACAGTCATTATTATGTATATATTTTGCCACATAACGTTTTGGAATTAGCTTTCTATGGAAGTTCTTACGTAACGTGTATATCTTTCTTCTCAGTCTTCTCTTGCGTTCTTTATGTGTATGTCCTACTCTTCATTCTCTTTTAATGGCTGTTGTCCTCCAGACTAATTTTCTGTAGTGTTAATGCTTTTAGATCTGTCAGGTTTTATTCTGTAAGAGAATTCTTTTTTTATAAGATCGTGTGTTGTTTTTGACTCTGCCTTTCTCTTGTTTTTTGGGTTTTTTTTAATGCCTGCAGCATTTTACTCTTCTTTGTTTTCTTCTTTCACTCTAGTTCCTTCTTTTCTTTCTTAAAAATCCTCCTCGTGTATTAAATAACTTTCATATTCCTTCCCCATCCCCTGGTCACTGTTTTCTTTCTTTCTGTTCAACCCCCATTAAAGTGGTTAAAATGTGAAGGGGTGATTTTTGTTCCCCTCTGATCTTATTTCTTCCTGTTTTCTCTTGAAATTTTCTCCTCTGCTCGTTCTTCACTCTTTCATGCAAATTCCCCAGTCTCCTATTTTCACTTTCTCATCAATTATCTCTTGACTGTGAAAATACCAACACAGTAGCTCCCAAACCGACCATTGGCTTAAAGATGTATCTCTTTTTCAAAGTCCTAAGTAATTTTTATCATCCACATGCCCTCCCAGCCACCAGGATATTCTGATCCTTCTCCCTGATACTCCTGGAAGGGTTGGAATAAGAAGGGGAAGCCAGGCCAGTCCTCACTGCCCTGCTTCTCTCCTGGCACCTAGAAAGTCGTCATCCCAAACCAGTGGGGTGTGCCCACAACTGCCTTGTGAGCCAGCCGCATTCCCCCCACCCATGTGGAGTGCAGGAACCCAGGCAGGCTAAATTAGTTTTCTTGACCCAGAACTCATTGTCATGGCAACCAGGGGCTGCCTCCTGAGCTGCGGGGCAGTTTCCATTTCTGTTGAGAACTTGAGCTCTGGTGAGACAGGGCTGGGTTTATCATGAGTACCCTCACTTTCAGACTCAGAAGCACGAGCCCCATAGTGGGAGAACTCCTTGGACCTGGACCCAAGACAACCCTTCCAGGCTGGGATGGCAGGGACAGGAGAAAGGATAGACTGTTCCACTGTGCGCTGCTCCCCTGTGGAGTCCAGAACCTGCTCCTCCTTTCTCTTCGAGGTCTTGCTTTGTTCTTGTCTATCTCTTGTTCCCACGCTGGAGATGCCCCAGCCTCCTTTCTCCTCCTCTTCTCTGTGGCAGGTGCCTCAGGACAGAAGCCACAGTCTGAACAGAGCAGGCTGTGCCCCTCCTGAGGAACCACCCCCCCTCTAACGTGTTTGGTCTCTTCCTTGACTGCTCTGAAGACAAATATCTTTGCATACTTTGCATACTTTACTAACAGAGAATGCTGACTACTGATACGATATTCTTCTGGTGTGAAAGTGGGTGTCTTTAATTAATTTTAATGACGGATTCTCAAAGGTACATCAGCAAAACAGTCTGATGAAAATGGGGAGGCTGCATATGATCTTCCAGGTAAAGTATTCTATGAAAGATCTCAAACTTTCTTACTCTATGATAAAGTTTCTGGGGACGTTCCATGAGCCAGGATGAAGTACAGCCACTACCCACACACAAAAAAGCCCTTCAGGATGGAGAGGGAGGGCGGACAGTGAGTTAACAATGTGGGATCCAAGCCTTCTTTTTTTTTGCTGTAGGCATAATGCATACAAACTTTTAGAAGCTGAACTATTTGTAAGCCCTGGATACTGGGTTTAAATTATCTTCATGTTGTAGACAAAGATACCAAAAAAAAAAAGCTTAAAAAAATCAGAATTTTTTTATTGACATAAAAGAATTGTGCCAAGTCCTTACGAGGTCTTGGCTCCTGAGCTGTATCTCCTCTTTGCTGTGGGTATAAGCTTTTTTTCTTCATAAATGGGAGCATGATCAGATTCCCTATGCTCATATTAGTGTCTTATAATAATAAACCAGTCAAGATAAAACACAGAGATTATATGACTATAAAGGTCAGTGTCTCTCATTCATAAGAATAACATTTTTCCATCTTTCTGAACTTTAATGTATATAGATGGCTGAATGTCATGATTACATCCATCATTATAAAATTGAATTGAATAAAACTGCTGCAAAATCTTTGGTTTTTCAGAAATAGCAGAATCCGATTATCCTGCTTCCTGTTATTTACATTAGCCATTCTAGGCCATTTTTCATTTAAATATGAAAAATGCCACCCTCCATATAGTCTGAGTCCAGATCAAAAACATATTCTCTCAAATAATTTAATTATGAATAAAATACTAATTTGAGGTCAACTGTACCGATTAGGATGATTTCTTTCACTAAACACCATTCCTCCTTCTTTTCTTTTTCTTTTACGGATTTTAGCTGACAACTGGCTAGCTGCAAACAAAGACCTGATCGACAAGACCAAGTTCACCATCACAGATCTGCCGACAGATGCGAAGATCTTTGTGCGTGTGAAGGCTGTGAACAAAGCCGGTGCCAGCGAGCCCAAGTACTATTCTCAGCCCATTCTCGTGAAGCAAATCATAGGTAGGTGGCAAGCCTTCCAAAGTTTTGTCTCCAGTTCATATTATTTGCTTTTATTTTTTAACCCTTTTTTTCCTCAAAACCTCCTATTTCACCGTCACTTCTTTGCTATTTTATTAATGCTTCTTGGGAGTTAGAAGTGAACAAAATGGCTCTTTTCAGGCGGTGTGGGAGGTTGGCTCAGGGTTTACAGCTTGGTATAAGGACCAGTTAACTGACCTCAACAGGTTCCGTGAGCCAGCTCTGGCTGGGCCACTATGCACATTGGAGAGAGAGAGAGAGAGAGTGGGGGCAGCAATGCAAACAATCCCCACAGCAGCAGCATGACTCGAATGGGTCTGCGGGGTCTAAACCATTTTCATGACAAGATGAACACATTATTTGCCCTTTCCTATGTTTGACATCTGCACTGATGGTGCAAAAGTGATGGTGAGTAAAATGACTGGTGCCTTAGCACGAACCGGGTCAGTGCCCCCAACTGTGCTAGTTGTTCTTGTCTTCGTCATCACTAGGCACTTGCAGTGAAAATAACACGGCCAGTTTTTCCTTGGAGTGTTTTTGATAGAGGATAAAAATTATTGATTTTATTAAACCTCGGTGCTTGAGTACATGGTTTTCCTCTACTCTGTGTGGCAATGACATGCGAAGCACATATAAAGCCCTTAGGCTGCAGGCTGCAGTACGATGCTTGTCTCTAGGAATAGCACATGTCCACCTGACTGAGAGGCTGAACTAGTGACTTTTTCATGAAGTTCCATTTTCACTTGAAAGGATGACTGGATATTTGGCAGACACTTTTTAGGAAATGAATGGAGTGATCCCGTCACTTCAAGGAAAACAACTTAATGATATTTGTTGTCAATTTGTCAATGAAAAAATTTGAGCTTTCAAACAAAAATAAGAATTTTGGAAAACTTGTATCCACCACTATGGACTTGACAACTCTTAACATGTAGAAACTTTTCTGATGAAATAGGTGGTATTTTAACGAATGTAATTTTTTGCTATGGGATAATGGAATGCGGCACCATTTGGAAGGTCTGCATAATTCAGTGAAGTGATGTTTTCTAAATGATCAATGCATGGTAAAAAATCATACCTAAAAACATACATTCAAAATGCAAGATAGACCAGTGGATATTAATGGAACAGAGATTAAAACGTTCATTGAAATGGTTTCAGATTCCACATTGCAGTTAATCTTCAAGAAACTACAATTTATCGTGTTTCAATGTAGAATCCAAGAGGAATATGCACAATTATCTGAAAAGTTTATTAAAATATTCCTCCTGTCTGTGTGAATCCGGATTTTATTTATATACTTCAACCAACACAACATATTGCAACAGATTAAAGGGAGTAACAAATATGAGAGTCCAGCTATCCTCTGTTAAGTCAGACATTAAAAGGATGGCCGAAATATATAATGACATTCATATCACTAATATTTTGTTAATGTAAAATATGGCTGTTTTAATTAGTATGTTATTTATGTTTTTATTTTTTCAATAAATAAGTAAATATTTCAAAAATCCTCAGTTTTAATTTCTAATGTGGTAAATACTGATAGATGCAGCCCATATAAACAAATGCCTTTTGGGGCCTCTTATAATTTGTAAGAGTGTCATGGTGTACCGAGACCAAAAGGTTTGAGAATCACTTCTGCAGGGGAAAGAACACTGGACTGGGGGCCTGGATATCCGTCCCTGGACCACGTTCTGCCACAGACTCAGGGTGTGGCTGCCTGAAACATTTTGGGAGTGAGTTAGGGGATGGATAGATGTAAGGAAGCATAAAGCACGCACATTTTCTTAGTAGGTTCTAGAGACAGTCTGCATAAGTTGAACTCTGTTTTCGTCATTTATTAGCTATGTGGCCTCAAGCAAGAGACTTGATCTTTCTGAACCTTAATCTCTTCACCTGTAAAATAAGGATAATACTAGTACTTACCACATGAGTGAGAACTGAATAAATCAATCCATGTTGCTTGCTTCATATAGTGCTTGCCACATAATAAGCCCTCAGAATATGTTCGCTTTTATTATGACGATAGTTTAGTTTGTTGGAAACTTGCTGAGTCTCCTTTTCCTCATATGTAAAGTTAGGGAGTTAGAAGATCTCCAAATTCTCTCCCAACCCCAACATTCAGTAGTCATCATCATCATCATCATTGTCATCATCACCATCACCTCCTAAAGTTTCTTGAGCACTTACTATTCTCAGCCATTATGCCAAATGCTTTCCAAGGATGACCTTATTAATATTTACAGGATGACCTTATTAATATTTACAGCAATCCTTTGAATCAGGTGCTGTTATCATCCCAATTTTACAGGAGACTGAGACCAAATCTACTGTCTGATCTAGGACTCAAATCGAGTTGGATCTCTCTGACTCCAAAGTTCATGTTTCTAAGCAGAGCATAGCCACTCAAGGCTGACTCCAGGCTCTAATCCTGGCTGTATCACCTTGGGAAAGTTGCTTAACCTCCTATGCTTCAGTTTCTTTATTATAAAGTAAAAGCAGTACCTATCTCATAAGCGACTGTGAGGTTTAAGTTAGTGCCTTCATGAAAAGCATTTTAGTCCAGTGTCTATCACATACCAAGCACTCAAATGATGAGATCTGCTTCATCCTGTGAGCCATGAGCCTTTGACTCTCTGTTCCTGATGGGTTTGCAGTGACATGTTCTAGTATCTTCGTGGTGTTTGACCAATGAACATTAATACACATGGGCTAGGGCTGCCTGTTATATACTTCACCATGGTCATATAGGGAGAAAGTTATTATCAAATTCCAACAGAATTACATAAATAGCAAGTGCTAGGTCCCCAAACATTTTTGTTTAAGAAAGAATGGGCAGTCCTACAGCTGATGCGATGCCTGTAGGTCTTTTATGGAATGTTCATTGGAGAATATACTCACTGTTAGAAACTATGAAAAATATGTAGTAGGTCCGAAGAGAAAAATTGGTGTGTTTTCCTATAAAGTTTCTTTAGACTTATAATGACAATAAACATAAGAAGTTGCAGTAAAACCAAGGATAAACTTTGAGGTGAACTGTTAAAACATCTCTACTTGAAGAAAGCATTCGGAACCCAAGTTACTGTATATAATCTGTTAGAGGCACATCTAAGATTTTACTGCAGAGACGTGAGCACAAGGGTACCCCAGTGAACGTCATGCCAGTGTGCTTATGTAAGGCTGTTTCCAGCGTGCCACACTGATCACAAAATTATGCTATTCTCCTCTTACTCAGAGCCTCCAAAGATTCGCATCCCAAGGCACCTGAAGCAAACTTATATCCGCAGAGTTGGAGAAGCTGTCAATCTGGTTATACCTTTCCAGGTAACCCTTCAGGGGGCGCTCATTCTCTCTTTCCAGTGCTGGGGTGTTTAAGAAGTAGAGGGAGGTATCATTATTCAGGATTTCCTCAGAGGGAGAGTAAATAATGGAAGAGATTTGGGGAATGATCGAACAGTCACCTGCTGTAGAAGTAAGGAAATCTATAAAACTGTCATACATTTTTCTTCTTCATGAAGCAAATGATATCTAGCCTTGTTTGAAGCTCAGGGATTATGATGGGACAGGGAGGAAACAATGAGAGGTCAAAACAAGAAATGCTTTAAGGTTCTTTCTGGTCTTCTAAATCTGTAAAACTGATCTTCATTTTAATTGACGTTCTCAGTGTAACATTCCGGAAAACAAGATGTGCTTCCCACAATTACCCAAACCAAACTAAATTCCAATAATAGGGGTAACCAAAATTTGAAATCTTGATGCCACTGACTGAACTATGTGAACATGGTTAAATCATTGCTCCAGCAAAAGAATCTGTTATGCACGAGATTAAACGGGTTTCATCTATGTTAATCAGTTTTGCTTTCAAACACACACACACACACACACACACACACACTGCACCACCACCACTCCCCTGCTCATCTGACTTCTTTTATGCCTCTAGACAGCACTGTTTAATTGAACTTTCTGCAGTGATGGAAACGGTCTATGTATGTGCTGTCCAGTGTGGTAGCCACCAGCCAACTGTGGCTGTTGGGCAAGTGAAATGTGCAACTAAGAACTAGTGTGACTGGGGAAATGAACTTTTAATTTTCCTTAATTTTAATTCATTTTAGTTCAAATAGTCACTTGTAGCATGTGGCTATTGTATCAGACAACATGGCCTTAGGATTAGAATTTAGGTCCCTGCACACATTTGAAAACACGCATTCACACACACATACACACACACACACACACACACACAGAGCTCATTCAAACCCAGGCTCCCATGAAATCCAAGATAAGGGGACAACCAATTCAGGCCATCCTCAATGCACTCTGGGCCCAAGCCTTAGAAGAAGCAGTTATCTTCTGCATACACAGTGCAGGAAATCAGAATGAAAGCCTAGGAGGATGCCAATGTGATCACAGCAGGGGAGGAAGGAGATGGCTTGGCAAAGTTCCTCCCACTTCTCTCCTCTCACAGCCTCAAATAAAACCAGGAGTTGGGACAAAGCAGGCACTCAGGACCCAGACTCAGCCCTGGCCTGAGGCTGCTGAATCAGCCCTGTAGTTTCTGCATCATGTCTACAGGGCTAATCCCTGTGCCCAGATCAGGGGGTTCTGTGTATTCAGCTTCTGTCAGTGGGTCTGGAGAGGAAAGAGCATGAGAACAGGGACCTCATAGGTGTGGCATCCCTGGGGCTGCTCAGCTGCCGGGAAGGAGTAATGATACTAGTGTGTCGTGTTTACATATTTGTCTAACCTCTAGAGTTCTCATAAACATTTCCTCATTCAAAATGAGAAATGCGGTCACCCACCACAGACTATTTCCAACCTTGCCTAGAATGGGGTAAGCCACTGTCATTTTTTGTAATGCTGAAAAAAATCTTGAGACAATCTGATTTCCCTCCCCCTCTGCTTTTTCTGTCTTTCTTTTTAGGGAAAACCAAAACCAGAATTAACTTGGAAGAAGGATGGTGCAGAAATTGATAAGAATCAAGTAAATATTCGCAACTCTGAGACTGATACCATCATATTTATCAGAAAAGCAGAGAGGAGTCACTCTGGGAAATACGATCTGCAAGTCAAAGTAGAAAAATTTGTGGAAAGAGCAACAATTGATATCCAGATCATTGGTAGGTTTGAAAGAAGGAACTAGAATGTTCTTTCAAAGCAGCATGTGGACTAATTATCCTTGTCACTTAGGCAAGAGTAATATTTTTTGTTAGGCTAGCTCTAGGCAAAATCCTTTTTTAAGAATTTTTTAAATAGATAAGGAAGAGGTACCTACACAAAGCCAAACAGTGAAACACTGAACTGGTTGATCCTCAGGCCTGTCCAAATGAGGTTAGTTCTTACTTCTGTCCAGAGTTAGGGGAATAGAAGGAGGACCTCTTATACATGGACCTCATTTGCTTGAATCGTTCTATAATTTTTGCAATGTCAAGAAATAGATTTAAGAGCAGAGCTAGGAGAAGCCTTGTCTCCCATCATTTTTATTACTATATTTCAGCAAATTTGCTGAAACTAGGGGTTCTCTAACCAAAGGAGCCACTTTTTGTGGCAAGCCTTCTCTTGGGTGAAAGTTTGTGTCCTTTAAGCAATCTTTTCGCATTGACGAAATCTTTTTGGATTTTGTTAAATTGAGGGGGGTGTGGAGGCTACTCTGTGCCCTTGGTCTGGCTCCATTCTAATGGAAACACCCCACGGTAGGGTCTGGAAGAGCACTGCCTTCTGTAACACAGAGAAGGACATTTTTTTTCCCTACCTTGCCATGTAATTACTTTACCAGGTAGTTATAAGTGCCTGGCACATCACTTGCACACCCAAAGTGCTCAATAAATAGTGACAATTATTATTCTTGTTATTTTATTAGTCCCAAAGTTATGTATCTGCCATGACTGTAAACATCTAGCAATGCCATTTACTGTTAGAGAGCAAGCGTTTGAAAAGTCAGTGTGAACTTTGAAGACAAAGTGGACTTGGGGTGCAACTGGGAAGTTGGACTGGGAAAAGACACGCTGTGGTGAACACAGGAAGTAGAAAACTGTGGCTGTAGACACTCATTGTTGGTAACTGTGGAAAGAAAGGAAAGATTATCACGGTGGTTTCCCCCATTGTGCCCACAAAGACTGCTTGTTAAATCTTGTTTGAGAGAAGAACATTGCCAGAGAACCCATGGGAGTTTGCTCTTTTCAGTCTGACATTTCCTATAGAAATAATTATAAGTGCATTTTAATACCTGGAAAATATTTCAGGGCAGAAAGAGTGATGCTTGCATTGAGAAGGATAATAGGATAATAGATGGGAAATTTCTCTGAAAAAAATTAAGACATACTATGCAAATATATGATTATTGTCCTTCCTTGCACCTGTGTGCATGACTTTTTGGGAGGGCCTCCCAATCAAGACTTAGTTTTCTTGACTCTTTGGCCTTCCTGACCATTCCTGCAATTTACTAGAGGGTCAGAGGTCACAGAAATTCATGTGGTGCAGAAGGTAAAGTGAGGGAAGACTTTATTTCCTCATTAATGAGTTTTACTTACATAAAGTGCGAACACGATGCATACAACTAAATCTTGGAAGGAGACTTGGCAGAGTGATAAAAAGAAGTTTTCCTCACTCCCATTGAAGGTGACTTTCGGGTGCAACAGAGGAACCCACTCACCAGCTGGGGCCTCAGTGCCTCTCACCGAAAGCGGGAGCTGCTCAGCCCAGGCAGGCTCTAAGTTTCAAGTCCAGCATCAGCTTACATTTCCCTTCAGGCAGGGTAGCCTTGCAATTCATTGCCAAAGACTGTCCCTAGAGGGATGGTTAATGAGGTTTGAAGTTTTGTTTAACTTTTCTTTTCAAAATCCTTTTCCTTCCCTGAAGGTGAAAGTCAGGAGTTTCCAGATAAGCTTAGCTGGAGTGCATTCCACTTCACTGAAGCTTAAGAATGGTGAAAGAAATGTGGGTAGACGTGCAGGGAGGGAAGGGCCTTTTCAAGTATCCTCCTGTGCCAAGGTATAGGTTGGGAGGGAAGGTGACCTCACACAGATGCTGTGAATTCATCCTGCAGACCGTCCAGGTCCACCCCAAGTTGTGAAGATTGAAGATGTCTGGGGAGAGAATGTTGCTCTATCATGGACACCACCAAAGGATGATGGAAATGCTGCCATTACAGGGTACACGATCCAGAAGGCTGACAAGAAGAGCATGGTAAGGTCTGGCTTTCTCTGGTTCAGCAGCAGCAAAATCACATTTCATCTGAGGTAAAGGGGGAGGCATGAGGTCCTCTCTGGTGAGGCCTCCATGACGGCTGTGGAGAAGTGATGGGGCATAGAGAAAAAGGTAAGGCCTTTAGAACCACAGAGAGTTGAACTTGAATCCCACCATTGCTACTTATGACCACACGTACATGGGCAGTCACTTAACCTCTTTGATCTCCATTTTACTCATTTTTTTTTCTGCTTTTTCTTCCCTAATCCTCCCAATGCATAGTTATATATCTTAGTTGTGGGTCCTTCTAGTTGTGGCATGTGGGACGCTGCCTCAAGGTGGCCTGACGAGCAGTGCCACGTCCACACTCAGGATCCGAACCAGCGAAACCCTGGGCCGCCAAAGTGGAGCACAAGAACTTAACCACTCAGCCACAGGGCCGGCCCCTTCCTCATCTTTAAAATAGACATAAACGCTTACTTTGCTTGATTAGTATGAAGCTAAAACGATATAAAGCAGCTGGTGCAATGCTCAATGGAATTCAATAAATTCATTTGTTCAACAAATATTTACCCACTCTGAATTCTGACTCAGATTTACATCCATGCAAATCTTTCTCCTTGTAAAATAAATGTTGGATAGCATGGATGAACAGTACCAGTTGGAAAAGAAAGATTCTAAAGGGAACAGCATGTGCAAGGGTCCTGGAGAGAAAGGGCTCAGGGTGTTCAAGAAGAACCCAATTGGAGTATGAATTATTATTACCTGTTTTGTATAGATGAAGAAACTGAGGCTCAGAGAAGATAAATGACTTGCTGGATATAACCAGATTTTAAATCTAAAAGTCTGGGTCTTTCTGAGTCAGAATCCATCCATGATACCCTACTGCTGCCCAACCTGTAAGTGAGTGAATGAATGAAGCAATCTTTGGACACACAATGGCATGGAGTCATTTTTCATTCTCATCGGAAAAGTAAAACATCATACCAAATGGTGCTGACAGGAAGTCTTTAGGCATTTACACTAATAGATCTCTGTAAGAACTTAGCTTATGAAGTTATGTCAGGTTAATAGAAGAAGGAGAGAGGGTTGGAAAAGACAGTCTAAGTAATAGGAATGGATTTCAAACCTCTCCTTTCCATGAACTATTTCTAGCATGTCTTTTTTTTTTTTCCTGGGTGGATGTTATATGACAAAATAAGATTTGACATTTAAAGCAACATCTTTCAGCTAAACCTGGACAGCTTGAAAGCTAGATCAAGGGATGACTTTGCCAGAAAAGTATCTGAACATCTTGGATTTCCTTAGACATGAGGGATCTTCTTTGGAGCTTGGCCCAGATCCTGGCAGTGAATCGAGGGGTGCCGTGGTTCCTATAGAGAGCTCTTCAGGTGGCTCCCCCATTCTTCTACCCCTAGCATACTTGCCCAACATTTGTCCTCTTAGATATCCAGTCAAGACCAGGTGAGCCGGGACTTTCCTGCTGTTTCGTGTGACCGAGGTCTGCCTGAGGGTGATCCCCAATCCCTGTACCCTTGTGTTTCTGTCGCATTTCAGCAGGGGCAGACCTATAGAACAGAAGATGTTCACTCTGCCCAGTGTACATCCCAGGAGATAACCACGCCGTTGTCTCGTTGTAGCTACAGATGCTGTTCTTCACTTAAATTCCTGTGCCCATTCATACCTTCCGTAAACATTGTTTTCATCACATGTGCCAACACACTCATTTATTCACTCATTTACTATATGTTGAGCAGTGTTCTAGCTGCTGGATCAAAAAAAAAAAAAAGACAGCTCCTGTTCTTGCAAGGAGCACTCACAGCCTAGGCAAGAAGAAAGATGTAAAACCAAATGATAAAACAGTATAATTGATGGAATAAAGGTTTGCATAAAGTGCTTTGGGAATAAAGGGGGGAATAACTTCCTTTGTCTCATGTCTTAAAAATATCCAAAATACAGAGATAATGATGGCCCCTAAAAGTTGCAAGGAAAATCCTTTTTCTTTATGAACTTATTGCCAGAAAATGTATTTTCTCATACTGGTATGAGACATGGTGGTATGAAACATGTGGTGCATGCAGTTTTATACTGGTTGCAAGGTAAACTTTGAAACTATTATATTTCTTGGTATGATGAAGAAAAAAATTGAAAAAATTAATATAGCTTTAGCTTCTCATTCATCCATTTGTTCAAGTGTCCAATAAACAGTTATTTTGTGCAGTACCTACTCTGTGTCAGGCATTTTAATAAGCACTGGGGACACAAGGGTGAGGAAAAAAGTCCATTTTTACCATCATCGTGTGTCCATTCCAGTGGGGGCATAGGGAGTAAACAAATAAAATAGTGAGTATATAATATAATCTAACGTAGCAAGTGCTGTGAAGAAAACTCAACCAGGTTAAGGGACCAACGTGGTGGAGATGGAGCGGTTGGAGGGTGAACACTTAGGGAAGAGGTGATAACTGAGCAAAAACCTGAAGGAGCCTAAGTTAACCATATTAGGCAAATTTATTGGGCAATATTAATTTTTCTCTAGTGATTTAGTTTCATCTCTTCCTCAGAATAGATAAGCTAGCACTAAAATTTTATAATTATACTTTGATATACAAAAGATAGACATGTGGACAGAGGACAGACACTGCAGTTATGAAGAAAATATAAAGGTAGTAGTTGACTTCTAGGGTATATGACTCTGATGTGCAAATGAAGATTAAATTACATAATCAAGTGAAAATCAATTATAAAGTATTAAACAAATTATATTTACATTGTTGTTACTCTCAGTATAAAAATTAGTGCTATTTTTCTTTTAGTTAATGAAACATCCCTATTATTTATTCTAAACAACAAGTGGAATGGTTGTGTATTTCTAGGTGATTTTCCTCAAATTATTATTTTTTTCTTTCAGGAATGGTTCACTGTCATTGAGCATTATCACCGAACCAGTGCCACCATTTCTGAACTGGTTATAGGAAATGAATACTACTTCCGGGTCTTTGCTGAAAACATGTGCGGCCTCAGTGAGGATGCAACGATGACTAAAGAGAGTGCCGTGATTGCCAAGGATGGTGAGTTGACAGTGGACTGGACATTTGGAAACCTTGGTTTTCAATGACTAGACCGAGAAGACTAAGAGAAGAAATGTAATGAAAGGGGAAAAGAAAATGATAAACTCACATTTTTAAATTATGGTAAAAATATCCAAGTGAAATTTTAATTTTATGAGTAAAAGTTTTAAGAAAAATTATATTATTTATTGCATTTTTAAATGTAAGCTTTAATTCATTCCAACTTATGGGCAATAGGTCTATAAATGCCCAGAATAGGATAAAGTACACATTTACTTCTTGAACTTGGGTTACTTTTATTCTTGGACACCTTCCATGGAGCTACAGATGAGACCCACTCTGCAAAGGAAAGAGAAGCTGAATTCCATCCTTATTGTTTCATTTCCTCATTAACCACTGTCCTGCAAGCTCTTCCTCATTATTTTCACATTAGAGCACATTGCTGATCAAAATACTCAGACACCGAATTCTTCTCAAAATTTGTTCAGTTTCAGATGACCACTCTGGCTTTCTGCCCTATGTGTGATTGGCTGTACATTTGTACCCTTCAGAATGAATGCCATGTGGCCTTCGTTCATGTTTTCACGAGTTTCAGGGAAGTTTTAATCATGAGTAAAGTATGCCAAGAAAAGTGTATATTTTTAATGCTTGTATTTGTATATTTTTGTATATTTTTAATGCTCGTATTTAAGGTAAGATCTACAAGAATCCAGTGTATGAAGACTTTGATTTCACAGAGGCGCCCATGTTCACCCAGCCTTTGGTTAACACCTACGCTGTAGCTGGTTACAATGCCACCCTGAACTGCAGTGTGAGAGGAAATCCTAAGGTACCGTGTATTTGTATTTGTTTTTGTTTTTGTTTTTATCATATTAAGTTTAAGAATTAACCCCAAACTCCCTCTTTTACATTTGCCATGTTGTAATTGTAAGTAATAATATAAACTGAACTTCTGACTGCTATTTGTGTCTTTTTCTGGGCTAGAAAGGGAGTTCGGGGTGGTGGTGTTGGATAATTAAGTACACTATTTAAATGTAGTAACAAAAAATGCTTATATTTCTTTACTAAGAGATACTTTCTAAGGTCAAATCAAACCATTCATTTTTACAAGAACTAAGAGGTAAGGAGATGGAAATAATATTGTTTCACCTGAAAAATTAGGTGGTAATGTTGATTCATCAAGTTTTCTGAAATAGGTTAAAGCAAATAATGATGACGTTATAATGCAAGGCAGAATTTAAACTGTGCTGTAATAAGGGTACAGAGTACTGGGAAGGGATTGAAGAGATTTAGAAAAGTTTTAAGGTTTCATGTTGTTGGCATTTGAAAAGAACAACAGATTAATGAATGTTGCCCATAGAGATATCTATTCCTGGGTGGCACTGAGGGGAAGTGCCCTAGAATTTGGAAAAAATGCAAACAGTGGTATTTTCCCCGCATATACCGTGAACGGAAATAGGGAAGAAAAGACAGAAGCCAAAATGAGCATGGGAGGAAGATGCTGATTCATGTTTAGTTAGAAGTGATGCTGGTATATCCAGGTGGGGATGGCCAGTGGGTGGAGGAGAGGTTCACTGGAGCTTCGGAGAAAGTCCAGTGCTGTGACTTTCAGTTTAGGAGTCCCCAGGCACGAGGGTGCTACATTCCACCCCTCTGAGCCGAAGCTCTAGGAAGGAATGTCATTGAGGAAAGAAGGTAGTGAGCAAAAAGTCAAGGACAAAGGTATGACTCAGTGAATGCTCTCATTTGAAAGGTGGAAGGAGGAAGATGACAGTGTGAAAGAGACAGGGTCTAAGCAAAGCCAAATCATATAAGAGGTGTAAGAGAGAATGTGGACGGTGTGTATTTACAGAAGGAAGGAGAAGACAATATGAGAAAAGAGTGGAGGGTCAATGATGTCAAATGTAGTTCAGAGGTTAAGCAGAATGGAGTCACCTTCCTGGGCAATAGGGTCACTACTGATCTTGAATTTCCTGGTTGGAGTAGATCCATTGCCACCTAACGATAACATACACAGATGTCAAAGGAGAGATTAAATGGTGAGGAGATATAAGCAGCCCATAGTGAGTTAGAAAAGAATATCAGGAAAAGGAAGTGGAGAACATCAGACGGTTATGACATCTTATGGGGATTCTCTGAAAAAATGCCCAGTAATACGCACTCACTAGGATGAGTTAAGCTCATGGACCTGTGAATCAAATGTGAATGTAACTGAACCCGTTTGGGAAGATTACCCAGACCTGTCCTCTGAAGAACCTGGCTTGCTTCTTCAGAACTGCTCATTTGCTTTCTTCCCAAGTATTGAGTACAATTTAATTTGAAAGAAACAGTCCTTAAGTAAATGTGAGTTCTTCTTAGATGTACTTTCTTTCTAAGCCATGCTTTAAAATTCTGTCACTGGCTTTGATGATCTATTATTAGGATAAGTATAGATATGTTTTGACCTAATTTACTTCAACCTTAACTTCAGCCCAAAATAACCTGGATGAAAAACAAAGTTACTATTGTGGATGATCCAAGATACAGGATGTTCAGCAACCAAGGGGTCTGTACTCTGGAGATTCGCAAGCCCAGCCCCTATGATGGAGGCACTTACAGCTGCAAAGCAGTCAACGACCTCGGGACAGTGGAGATCGAATGTAAACTGGAGGTGAAAGGTATGACATCCAAGATCTCGTGCATAGACTAAAATGAAAGGAAATCATTTGATTATTGTCCTCACTGCAAAATGCAAATTGTTTACCCAAATGTTCTGGGGTGGAGGAGGAAGTGGGGAGAGAATTTGGGGCAGGGGAGAGAGGACATTTTTACATTTTGCATTCACCCTGATTTATTTGTTGAAGGCAACTTTATTATTTAAATAGACATTTTTATCTCTTGCAATTCTTGTTAACTAAAGGAATATTAGTTTCAGTGGAATGCTGGTTTGTGCACAGCATGGGAAGAATGAATAAAGTTAAGGGGGTATTGCTTTGGTGCTATAGTCCATCTATAAATAGACGCCTAGTGCAAAAACTTATCTAAAGAAACTGCAATTAAGGAATTTACACTACTTTTAATGAATTTACTATTTTGTGAAACTTGCAATATATATGTGGGTAAGCTTGCTAATTTCGTGTTTAATATTACACATATAGACTATAGCACACACATATTATAACCAGTTGCTTTTAAAATCTCACTAGAGAATTTCTATTTATAGGTATGCTTGTCATTTATACTAGTTTTTAGAAGTGTTGCAACTAATGTAAACTAAGAAAACATATAAGGATTTATGTAGTAAAAAAAAGGTCTCAACATAACTTGTCTTCTTAATACATTTTAATATTAATTGCATATAATTTTTATACTGAAGTTTTTCTTGACAATCAAAACCTACTTTGGGATACCATAAGAATTCCTACAGCTGTCAGAGTCACCATTATGAAATAATAGGTGACATGATCCTAACGTCTTTTCTCTTATCTTATTCTATTGTACTGCCATTCTGTGATAACTGAAGTCTTTATTTTTCCTACCTCTCTATAATGAGGAAATTATGATCTAAAAGTCAGAAAGATAAATTTGCAAATATCTGTTTTAGAAAAAAACATAGTAAGTGCTTAGGGTATTTATGTTAAAAAAAAAAAAGAGTTTTTTAGTCCTAAATTTAGAATAAAGTATAGTAAATTTCTTGAAAAAAATTTTTTCCTTTTATAAGTTTTGAAAAACGGTATTCTTTCTCTTATGATTTCTGTTCCTCCTCAGGTAATACAGTATAGTAGATTCATAATTGAGTGATAAGAAAAAGGTTTTTAATTTTTTTCCTTTCAAATATAAAAGCATATAATAGTCTTAGAAAATTTCAAACCTTACTATTGAGATAATGCTTATAAATTTAATGTTATTATTTTAGCTGTTTATTAGCTTTAAATGCAGGTTAAGGTCCAGTTGCAAGCATATCTGGTTTCTAAACCCCTAGCCTTATTAGTTCCAGGGTATTGTTGGTACCTACATTTCAACACCCAAAAAACAAACAAAAAAACCCAGTACCACTTCTGCATGCTTTGAAACTAATTGGATGTTGCTAATGATATAAAATGATGAATTCATAGATGGTGCAATATTTGGGATCCTCCATAAAAGCAAATAACGTTTTGCATATAGATATATTTTTTATAGTAACTGTATAGTAAATTGTATAGTAATTGCTTAATAATATAAATAATGTATTCTAGTACATAAGTTCATAAAAAGGTATCAATTGTGATATATTAGTAAAAGCTTTTGGTCCTGAAAGTAAAGCCAAGATTGTTTATCATCAGATTGTTATCTGATAATAGGTGACTTGAATCAAGTTAAGCTGTGAAAAAAATAAAGGTAAGAATGTCAACCGAGAATAAATAAATACCAGTACAAATATTCTAATTCTGCAGTGATATATCAAGGAGTAAATACCCCTGGACAACCAGTCTTCCTGGAGGGGCAGCAACAGGTTTTTTAAAGTTCATATCCCACCATATTTCTTCTTTCCGTTCCATTCCTCTTACATGAAATAGCACTTTGCATGTAAAGCTTGACTTTCTCATTTGCTTTTAATTGTATTTCTTAGCAGCTCATGGCATAAGTGTTTATGCCATGAATAAGGAAGGCCAAATTATTCAAGGATATTAAGTAACATAGGAACTAAGTTTCGTCAGAAAACTAAGTACCATACCACAGGTCCCCATAAATAAAGCCAGAAAACTTACATTTGAAAATGACCTCATTTTAGACATAAGATTATCGAAATTTGGGAATCAATGACATTTCTTTAATATTTTCATTTTCAAATGTAAAGAGATATGTTGTTCTTCCTTTAAGATAATTTCCAGTGTAGGCTCCTTAGAGCCATGTTGAAATTCAGAAAACTGAACATCTTTAAATTGCTAAGCTGTAGAAAAAGTATTCTGGGCATTTTGATAGGAGAGGACATAAGTAAAAATAGATCCAATATTGGGAAATTTTTATATTTAATATTTTCAGTGAAAAATTCACCAGTAGACTATCTATAATGCATCTATCTGCTGGACATTTTGATATTTTCGTGGGACCAAGATTATTTCATATATTCATGAACTTAAATGGAAAGAAAATCCTATGCCCCCTTACTAAGTGTATTAAGTGATAAATGAGTCCTATTGTATACATATGATTCACCCCTATTTGGAAGAGTGAATTAAGAAGTTCTTTGGGGCTGGGTTAATGAATGGATGTAAACTCTAATGGCGTACATCTATGCTTGAGTTTACAATATTTACTCTCTGAATTCCCAGAGATAATGTCAGCTTTCAAAAAAGGAAAGAATTAGGGCTCTTTCTTTAAAGTTTTATAGATTATACGTTCTAGCCTAAGTTTGTTTAAGCCTTGTGTTTATTTAAATCAGTCATATATAATTAGTTAAGAATACTATATTATAGAATACATTAGTCTAATATTTATATCTACTTGATAATTTTGCCTTTTAGAATTTCAACATATATATATGTATACTAATGCTTTGTCTATTGCCTATGTTTTTCTTTTGTTGAAAAACAAAATATATATATGTTGTAGGGTTTTTTTTTTAAGCTTATGGTTTGGAAGCTCTTATGTAAATATTCCCTGTACAATGAAATAGGCTTTGCCACCTGTTCAGGCAAAGTAGTTGTGCATATTAATAAATGTTTTACATATTAATGATCCTTTTGAAGTGACTGGATCCCTGCCCTTCATTCCATGCGCTTCTATTTTTCCTACATCCTTCACATGACTAAGGATTAATGAAATCACCTCATCATAATCGTGACCATAATTTCATCCAACAAATACTCAACTTTGGTTTTAGCACTTTATTAATGCTTACAACTTCTCTCTCTCTTTCTCTCTCTTTTCCTTAGTCGTAGCACAGTAAGGATTTTTGAATGTATATTATCATCTAAGGTAAGCTTTCATATGGTTTTGGCATATGAAGCTTATGACTGTCATAAGCCATACAAAGCCTGTGGAGTATGGCATGATTTTCATTATGTAATGCAATGAAAATAGACTATTTAAAATCTCTAACTTTGTAGTTTTAATTTGTATTTCAGTATCTTGAAATTAACAGCTAGTACTTACCACAATCTCCTGTTGACATGAAGCTAGTTGTTGAATGCAGTAGAGCATGAATTAAAGCATTTAATGTAGATGAAAATGAGTGATATTCAAGCATCCTGAGCTCTTTGCATCAAGGAATGGACATGTACATAAATGGCATCATTTCTACCAATATGTGACTTGAATTTTTTTTTAAAAAAAAGGAGAATGACTTTCCCAAATTTGCATTAAAGAAGTTTTAAGAATGTTCAAATGGCATGCTGTTTTTGTCTGGACGTGAATTTATTAGCAAGTAGTGAAACACTTCTCTAAACGACCATGAATTTTTATAGTTTCATGGGTTCTCTTGTGAAGGGTACTTTTACTTTTTAAATGTAGTTCAGAAACACGGAAGGTAAGTATGAGATATTTGTAGGTGTTTCTCTCACCTTCAGAATGTATTGGACAGGTTTTACTATTTTTAACAAAATATTTCCAATTTTTGACAATGTATAAATAGCCCAAGTTAAAGGAGTAGTCCTTTTTTCTTCTCCAGTGTGCCTGAATCGGAACTCTTTGTGCTTAATTGAACATTAACGAACTGGAAACAGTTCTTCCCGCTGATTCATAACATGATATGCGTTTATGCTGCCATTCACTCAGAACACTTGAATCATCTGTGGAGGAATCCCCAGACCTCTTAACGAGCAATAAATACTTTCCATCCAGCTAGGAATTTAAACTAAGTTTGACTAATAGTAGAGAACAAAAGATTGCTATGAGTCTGCGGGGGAACTTGCTTTTCCTTCAATATGCCACGTGCTTTAAATTCTAAATGTACTAAACCCAGGAGAAGATTTCCAAGTAGAGACTGAATGAATCTTTGTAAATAATGGGACTCAATTAGTCACATTTCTAGGCAGCTAGTCGAGAAGTATTATTTCAGCGATTTTTCACATAGATGTTTTTGACTTTGCCCTTTCCTTTTCGTCCTCTCTAGGTGGCCTTTCCTTCTGCAGGCTCCTCTTGCAAGGCGTGCCTCCTAACATAATTGATTCATATTTGCGAGACTTGCAATCAAGCAATCCTGAGGAATATTGAGGGCTTGGGCACTGCCTCTCCGCACTTCACTGCTTTGAAATCTGGTTGCAATGAGAAAGTATTTTCTGGTTTTCCACCAGGCACTCAAGTGTGGTCATTTTCTTTCCTCCTAATGTTGAAGAAAAAAAAAACGGTTTGCACGGATTGCTTAATTAAAAATTGCAAACAAAATCTCATTTGAAGTCAGCATTTTGGTCTTCATTGTCTATGCTTGGGCACTGTACTTTACAAAAATGCAAACTATAGAATAAGCAAACCAATTGTTTTAGTTTAAAATAGTAGGCTGTAAATGCTTTTTTTCTTTCCAGAGTAAAACATATAGTACAACACACCACTTGAAAACACACCTTTCTCTTGATCTAATAGATTTTTCTAAGCATGGCAGAGTTGTTTATTTCACACAGCCCTGCTCAACACCAGTGGCTCTGTGCCCTTTTTCCCATTTGAATTCACTAAAAGACTTCTTAAAGTCTTTCAGACAAGTTTTCCCAACAGAAGAGAAAATGTATTCAATAAATGGCACAATAAATCTGAAGTGTTTATGATGAAATGACACAGTATTCGTTTATGTGTTTGGGATTGTGTGATGAGACAGAACAGAGGACAAAAACCTGGGAGTCAGTATGCTACCAAACTCAGGCCTGACCTCGACTGTGTGTCTGGCATGGCATCCTGGCCAAATCCACCAGCGCTCCTGCCAAAACAGCTGGTCATAGTGACAAAGAGCTGTTGCAGGCTCCAGAGCAGTTACAGATTTAGAGTTTGCTCATGGCATCCATCCAAACTGATGGAAACCTTCTTCAAAAACGTAGAAGCTGAGAAACCTTTGTACAAGCCTGTGATCTTTTCGGCAATGTCCTTCACTCTTCCTGATGTTATAGAGAAAGTTTCAGTGAAGGGAGTGGAGGAGAAGTGTGAGGAAGGGACCACACCATTAGTGTCTACTCCCTTGCCTCCCTCCTTTCTTTCTTTTTGGTCTTTTGTTGTAAGAGCTAAATACATTGTGACCTGTAGGTGGGCCCATAGCATTCTGGGACAACATTTTAAAATATCTGCTCTACTTCCTTTCCAGTTTAGAGCTGGGAAGTTGTGATGGTGGTCATGCCTCTGGATTGATCTGGGGCTCATAAAGGAAAGGAGAGGATGATCCAGGTAGTTGCAGTACATTTGGGAACAGCATGGGAAAATTCGAGTTCTTGTCCAAATTATGGTGGTTGCCCCTTTTTCTATTCTGATTGGTTGGTTATCTTGCCTTACTGGTTGTTAAGAATATTGGCTATCATCCCATGTTCTCAATAACTCTGAAAAAATAATGTGTGCAATCCCTATGTAAACATCCGTTTTAACCAGGAAATCTATTTACACATTATTGGCTAAGATTTTTTACATAAAAGAAGTCTGGCTCATCTATAAAGACATGAAGACCATAACTCTGTGTGAAAACCAAATAAACAACAGTGTGGTCCCCGCAGCCCGGCTGCTGGGTCAGAGTACCAGTGCAGCAGCTGGGCTGGTTGCCTAATTCCAACACTCATTGACCAATTTTGCCAAGTCATGATCAAGGTTGTTAGGTCATTTATAAACATTGCCTTAAAGTGTCTATAAAGCACCCTTACAGAATATTGGTTCCCCAGTCATGGCTTATACTCTCTAACGATATTTTGTACTAGATAATGTTATTTTTATACATATAATCTCTCCTCATATTAAGGACACTACACACCGCAAAGTTTCAGCACAGAAGAAAAAGTCTATTTTGAAACTACAAAGAACAAAAAATGTCAGAAACGGCCATTGCTATTAGCTTGCCTACAACTTTGTTCTAAATTTGTTTAAATTTCCCTCTAATAAGGAAAAATTATATATCACAGAAATTTACCAAGAATTCTTTTTGGGAAGTAAGCACTCATTAAATTTTTTAAAGGATCACACTTATTTACTTACTTTAAAAGAAAGCTTAATGAATGTTTTCATCTAAATGAATACAGAAATAGAAAAAAAAACCAACTAATTCCAAGAAACATTGGAATAAGGTAATATGTCTTTAACCACTCTTTTTTTTTTTAAGATTTTATTTTTTTCCTTTTTCTCCCCAAAGCCCCCCAGTACATAGTTGTATATTCTTCATTGTGAGTCCTTCTAGTTGTGGCATGTGGGAAGCTGCCTCAGCGTGGTTTGATGAGCAGTGCCATGTCCGCACCCAGGATTCGAACCAACGAAACACTGGGCCGCCTGCAGCGGAGCACGCAAACTTAACCACTCGGCCACGGGGCCAGCCCCCCACTCATTTTTAAATTGAATTCTGAAACAGTCTATTCAGCTCAGCAAATTAGATAATGAATGTCTGATGTGTGCATGGCACCGTGACGGATTCATAGGAACCCAGTGACGAATTAGCCACTTGATGCCTTCAAGGAATTTATAATGTATGAGACTAGAACACAAAGGGAAACACATAAACAGGGCAGAATGCAGGTGTAAGAGAGCACTATAAGGACTCAGAAGTTGGATAATGTGGTTTATGTATTTATTATTATCCATGTATGTATCATACTAGGATGGAGTACAGGACATGCCACATGACTTTATTCTTCTAAATCAAATTAAATATGTGTCTGAGTTCCCCACTAGCCAGGGAGATTGAGAAATTCTCTCTGTCCTTCTTGGGGGTCCTCAGGCCCCGGGACAACTGGGATCTTTCCTAGTGCCTAGAAAATGGAAAGAAGGAAAGTCTCTCCATTTCAGTCTACACTGGTGACTGCAAAAATGTCTGTGGTCCAACCTAGTATAGTCCACTCAAAGGTGACTCTGAAACTTCCTGGACGAGTGTGGACCTGGGGTCTTTCAACTTCCAAGGCCATCGCCTATCTATTTATCTGCTCCTTTCAAAGATGTTCCTTATGGGAACACTGGACAGTTCTACCACTTAGTACCAACCTTGGACCTGGGCAAGAAGGACCTCTGAACTTTCAAGAGCCTTACTCTGGCCCTCCTCCAGCTATATCTCCCTCCACGAGGCAAGAAGGCTTTAGAGCTAAGGGGATGTGCCTACTTGAAACCCTTATCACACCACTCCTTCTTAGAGACTGCACCCAAGCCCACTTTTAGGGACTTTGTGGGATTTTCCACTGGATTCAACCTCTCAAGGAAGAACCATGTGGCCAATATAAGCACCCTGAGGCCCAAGGGGTAGCCTAAAGGCATCTGTTTGCCAGGAGGTTGGGGTGTAGCGGGTGTGACTGGAGTTTGTGCTTGAGGCTGGGGCATCTACATGTGTGCACCTGAGACCCCTTATGGTGTGGTTCAGGAAGGAGCTGGGATGCAAAGGGCAGGGAGACCCAAGACTGCAGTGAGCTGTGATATTCTAGGAAGTTTCTCTGAAGAATCGGATAATTCTACATTCAAACCTGCCCTTCCAGGTCATTATGAGGGTATCCTCGTGAAGACTGAAGGATACAACTATTTTATTAACCATCTGTTAGCTTGATTGATAACTTCTAAATATTTATGTATAGGAGTCACAGAAGTTAGGAGTCAGGGAGCCCCAACCACCTCTGTTCCCTTTGCTATATCCCCTCCTCCCCCTCCTCTACCCTCCAACGTCACTCTCACCTCTCCACCATCACTTCCTCCTTCCTACTCACCAAACTCCAGGCCTGCCCCTCCCTCTCCTTCCTCATTTAAGTTCCCCTGGATGGAATTCTAGAAATACAGGTTCGGCCTCTTTTTCCTAGGAGTAGGAGTAGAATAAGGAATAATAAGACCAGATAGTCTTCCCACCAATTCTCCCTATAATATTAATTGATTGTAAATTGAACTCTACCTTTTTTTTCATTTCCTTCTTTTAGCTGGACCACTAATTACCATCTTTATGCCAAAGATTCAGGTGATTGTTACATGTAGGTATTTATAAAATCCTTTGTAATTAAACTTCAATAACTTAGAATGGACTAGAGAAACAAACTGCTAATGGGACCGTCAGTTCTGCTGATTCTAAGGGCTGTCATTACTCTCTGAAAGTCACCTGATGATCTCCCTCTCTGTCCCCAAATGCCCTGGCCTAGCTGAATATTTTTCTTCTATCTGGAGTAGCTTACCAGGGACAAAATACCAGAGAGGCAACAAGGCATTTCAACACTCCCAGAGGGTTACTCAGTTAAACATTCCCAGAGGGGTTGCCCCAGAGGACTTGGGGCACTGGCTGACTCGAGTCATTAAAAATCTCGCACTCAAGTGCATAATTGATTATAACTTCTTTTTCTCCCACGCAGTAGCTTTGGAAAGACTCTGTCTGTTCTTTGTAGATAAGCACTTAGCTATCCACAGGCAAGAGATTCCCTCTTTTCATTACTTTACTCTCACCTTCATCCTAGTCTCGGAGCCCAGGAAAACATCTTAAAGACATTATATATCAATTTAAAAACCTTGGCTTAAAATTTTTTAAGTTAATTAAGAGGAAAAGATAACTAGGGTTCCCAGCAAGGCTGTGGCAAGGGAAAGAACTTTCAGACTTTTAGACTTTGTGAGGCATCCCTCTTGGAATATTGGGACAAGGGATAATTGGAAAGGAGCCATGTTTCAAAATAAACCAAAGCTGATTTGAAGTCATGCGGTCATCTGGAAAATTCCAGGCACTAGAAAGCCAAATAATGTATCCACTGCAGGCTATGGGATGAGGTACCATTGGGTTGGTCATTCCAACCCCACTCCTGAGGGTCCACTGGGTGTCATTGTAAATTCAGTTCCCATTCCTGCACTGGGAGGTACCTCTGAGCTGGAGGCAGTGGGGGTAATAGCGGAGGTTATCAAGAAGGGGCAGAGCCTATCTGTGCAGTTATTTTTATGCACTTGAAAGCTTATGGCTAGGGCTCAATAAACATCACAGAGCAGTAGAAGTAGAAGTTTATTGGTGAGATAAGTTGTTCCCAAGGTCTTTGCATGATTATCAAGTCCTCATAGTGGCAAGCACAGGCTCTCACCCAAAGTCAGCCCTTAGTAACTCCACTGCCTGAAGATGTTAAGCAAAATTGATAGACAGACCAGGGTGACATGGCAAGAAGGGGCTCAGTGAAGGCCTAGACCAAGGATCAACATCAAGCAGGAGGGAGAAAAGGAGGACAGACTAACACGTTATTATTTGTACAGAGGGAAGAGCAGTCAAGAGCAGTGAGACAAAAATAAATCCAGACAGGCCAGGAACTAAAGAAAGAGGAAACGGCAACCAGAAAATCAACAATAAAAAGAAAATAACGCCTACTTATGTGTTTCAAAGGCATTATCTCAGTAACGGTTTCTTAACCCAGTCCGCTACTGCTGCATTCTTCTTTGCAGAAGAAAGGAAAACCACGTTTGGAAAACCAAGATGGGAGAGCGTAGCCAGAAGCCCCTGCCACAACCTCTCATATGCTTATTCATTAAAATTGATCCACATGCTGTATTCTTCTTCATGATATGTGAGTTTATTTTAATAGAAGAACACTTTTTTCTTCCCAGATCTTCAAATGGATGTTGTTCTAGGCATTTTGTCCCGGAGCT